AAAAAGGGCAATAACTCAAATATTATAAAAGGTATAGTTATCATTCTTGTGCACTGCACACCTCCTAAGTTAGATCTATGCACCTATGAAGTTTCATAATGATATCTCAAAGGCCTTTTGAGTTATGCTCTGGACAAAAATTAATTTTGAAAAATAAAAAAGGGCAATAACTAAACAATTATGCAGGGTAGAGTTATCATTCTTGTGCACTGCACTCTTCCTCAATGAGATCCATCCACCTATGAAGTTTCAAGTTGATACCTCAAATAATTTTTGAGATAAGCTCCGGACAAAATAGTATGAAAAAGAACAAAGGGCAATAACTCAAAAATTGTACAGGAAAGAGTTATCATTCTTGTGCACAGCATTCCTCCTCAATAAAATCTACCCACCTATGACATTTCATGTTGACATCTCAAACACTTGTGAGTTATGCTCCACTCGGGTGAAAAATTCGGTATGAAAAATAACATAGGGCAATAACTCTAAAATTATGAAAGGTAGAGTTATCATTCTTGTGCACTGCACACCTCCTGAGTGAGATCTATGCACCTATAAAGTTTCATGTTGATATCTCATAGGCTTTTGGAGTTATGCTCTGGACAAAAATCAATTTTGAAAAATAACAAAGGGCAATAACTCAAAAATTATAAAAGGTAGAGTTATCATTCTTGTGCACTGCACACCTCCTGAGTTAGATCTATGCACCTATGAAGTTTCATAATGATATCTCAAAGGCCTTTTGAGTTATGCTCTGGACAAAAATGTCGGACGGAAGGACGGACGGAAGGTCGGACGGACGGAGACTATTTCTATATCCCCCGCCACCTTTTTGGCGGGGGATAATAACCTGCTGAACTTCCACCCTATTTAAATACTGTTTGACTGTTTTAAAAACGGTCCTTTTAATATCATTTTCACAAATCAGGACTTTATGTTCTGATTGAAACCACAACGCTAAAATTCTCATTTTAAATTTTCTCATACACTAAGAGACTCTTTATCAACTAAATAAACAACTGATACCTCAATGGTTTAAACTTGTAAATTTCTTATCATTGGAAGTTAAAAATAAAACGATCAAATTCCACGTATCCAATATCAACAGCAAAACATTTCCGTTTAAAAACTGTGAAACAATTTGAGGAATACTTTTTTTCAAGGTACTTTATTTCTATTTAATTTCTAAATGTCTACAAAAAATGACTGTCTTCTAAAGGCAACAGCATTATTATCTTATTAATATGCTTTTTTAAAAAAGGAAGTTAAATATATCTTGATACACAAAAATTTGATAAAACTTCTTGACTTTTTTTTTCATGCCTTTTAATTATTTTTATATTTGTAACAAGACTTGTCTGTGGACGGTTAGAGCAATCTACTTTACTCAGTGCTATATAATTCAATAAAATCAACAGAAATATATAGGGTATAATTCTGCAAATGTGATTAGCAGACTTACCTGCCCTTGATAGTCTACTAGAATTTCAAGTTTAAAGTGAATCCATTGTTTTGGTTATAAAATAATTTTAGGATTATCTGCCCTTTTGAAAAGTAATATTGACTTTTCATGACAATAAACAAGTACACCAAGTTTGAAGTGAATAATAAGCTATTATATTTTTTGACAAAAAGGTTAACCAATGTCCACATTAATGTTAATGCTAATTAGTGTTGGGAATCGGGAGACAAACTCATAATCGATTAATCGGAACAATCGGACAGGCTCTCCGATCAATTAATCGGAATAATCGGACTGAATATTTTTTCAGCATAACTAACTAGAAAATAGAAATCATTATAACTTTTATTTAATATAAATTAATGTTTTTATCTAATTGTCTCTTTAACTTATTACAAAATACAAATTCTTCAGTCAGGACACAGTTTACATACATGTAATGATCTTCTTATTCATATTCAGAAAAATCAATGTGTCCCTGTTGCCAGCATTTTTATTTAAGTGCCTATTTCACAATCGAGCTAAAATAAATATGGTTAAACTAAGGAAAGTTTGAGATTCAGGGTTCCTATTCCTGTGGGAACTATTCATGGTCATATAAATTATAATAAACTAATTACTGCTACCAATAATTGATAAAATGTATCTATGTGATTAATAAATTAATGTAATATGCATGATCAGGAATAAAAATGTAAGTTACCATTTCACATAAAAAATTTAATTGTTTTATTTCATTTTTAATAACAGAATCGCTATACCATAAACGGCGTCATGGTAAATATCAGTTTAGAAGCCTTTTAAATTTACCATTTAACATTGTAAATGGACAGAGTAACGAAGATTGTTACAGTAAAATACAGTATCAGAATCCGATTTTAATTAATACGGGTGGGGCACCTTTATTTGCATATCCTTTACCACAAAGCTTGCACACAACTTTAGCCATGTCCAAGTTATCACGGGTAGCGGGTCCTTCAATATTCAAAAAATTAACACTAAGCGACAATCGATTCTGTTCGACCACAATCGATGTCGGCGACATTATCAACATACCAATCTATAATCGGATAGCGGCGACAATCGGACCATCACTAATGCTAATTGCTTACAAGAGGGTCATGACAATAACTCCGCCTTTTTTCTTTGAAATGAGGAGCTAAAAATTGTGTATGTTATAACATTGCATATTTTGTTATTCTGTTCATCTGTTTTGCATGGGTGGATACTTTAAAGTGAAATAAAGTATTATTCATTCTTCATATCTAAATATTAAAATTATGTTTGAAATACACTTTTAAGCATCAGATGTACAGTTTTAAGTTAACAAGAGCCAGTCAAACACAGTGATGCTCCCCTAAATTGGTTTTGGTCACAGAGGAGTAGTTTCTTGTTGATATCTCTTGCAGTTTCAGAGCAATCTAATGAAAGTCAGCTGCAAAATTAGCATTAAGATCTAACATTCACCCATAGGCAGTCACCTTCTTGTGGTCTTTCAAACAACCAATCATCAGCAAGCTTTCATTATTTTGAAAGCAATGTGGTTTCTAATTTTAACCCTTGGAGAACCAATACTGAGATGGTAATTTTCACGATTTCAAGAACAAACATGACATTGTCCATATAGCTGACAGGTAAACTTGCAAAACAGTCTTGCCAATTAAAAATTTACTCTATCATTTTAAGTTTATTTGTTAACAAATACTTCAAACATGTTTTTCTAACAAAAATCAACAATTTGAATAACTTCCACGGATAACGGTATTTTGATACTTCTTCTAATGCCTATCTGTAAAAACAGGTTTGATTGCATGGCTAAAAATAGCTTTCTCTGGAAATCCAAATTATTAAGAAGGCGAAACATACACAGTCTTCATCAAATCTACATGGAAGAAATAAGTAGATCTGAACTTTAGTCAGATTGAGTTACAGAGTTATGTCCTGGACAAAGTGTGATTTTTTTTTTAAAAAGGCAATTACTCAAAAATTAGGCACAGCAGAGTTACAGTTGGGGCCTATGGGTTCTAGAATTATTGGTTGGAAACCATTTTGGCATCAATGTTACCTTGACCTTTAAGATTTTAGACCTTTTAGATTTTGACCCAAAAATCAAAAGAGGCCATGAAGTGACCAAGACCAATGCTTCTATGAAGTTTGAGTGCCAAGGGCCCATTGGTTGTCCAGTTATTAGTCAAAAACCATTTTGACAAGAAGTCTACATTGATTTAGGATAAAAAAGTAGTTTTCTTTTTAATTTTGTCCTTTTTACCGATATGAAAAGTAAAAAAAAACTGATTATGTAATGGTATGAAGAGGTGGTTAGTAAGCATGCATTGAACAAAGAAATATAAACAGAACTACGACATGGAAAATGTTTTAAAATACAAGGTCACAGTTACCTTAACCTTTCACCTCTCAGCCTGAAAATCATTAAAAGTCAAGACTAATGCACATGTGAAATTTGAGGGCCAAGAGCCTAAGGGTTGTGAAGTTATTAGTCAGAAACCAAGAGCCCCTTTATTGTCAAGTTATTAGTCAAAAACTGTTTTGACAGCAGTTGATATGACCTTAACCTTTGGCCCTGCGACTCGAAAATCAAAAGTGGTCAAATTAGAAATTAATTAGACTTTTCCATTGTTTCAAATCATCTATGAATCTCAAGTTTTATGTACTCACTGAAGGACATTTGAAAATCATGCAATACATAGAAGTTTTTTTTCTAAAACATTTTAGGTAAAACATGGCAGTCTCAGGAAAGAGAGCATTAAAACAATTTTCTTCATGAACAACATCCATGGCATCAGATGAATATCTTCAAATTTACTGTCAGCCTTGTGACGAGGAAGGAACTACACTCCCTGCCCATGGTTACTGCACTGACTGCAAGGAACATCTATGCAACACATGCTTTACAGCCCATAGGATAAACAAGTTTACCAAAAAGCATACACTTCTGGATGCAACAAGTATGCCTAAAGTTTTGCAGCAACCCTCAACATCCCATCACACAGGTCTGTCGGATGACTTGACCTTGCCATGTGGTAAACATCCAATAGAAATTATCAAGTTCTACTGCTTTGATCATACAGAATTTCTCTGCAGTGTTTGTGTTACCCTTGATCATCAAGCTTCATCCTGCAAAGTGAACTATATACCAGACATTTCTGGTGATATAATAGACAGCAAAGAATATCAAGTTATCTTGAATGCATTAAATACCACTTCTGACAAATTTCAACAGATATTAAAAGATGTCAAGAATATGACACACAAATCAAACAGCTCTCTCAAAGATGTCATAGGAGACATTAAAAAGTTTCGGCAAGAAATCAACCAAAGACTAGATGAACTTGAGAGACAGGCTGAAGATGCAGCTAAAGTCATAGAACAAGAAAACAACAAACATCTGAAAGCAGTAGAAAGAGCATGTGAAGATATAACCAAATCTCTGAAGATTTCATCAGACAAAGTCAAACAGCTCAACAGAACAAAACAAACTGACAAACTCTTCATTGATTTGAAACTTGCAGAGAAAACAATCAAAGATATGGAGGGAAAACAACTAAAACTCTCATCATATTATATCAAAGAGCACAACTTTCAACCAAATGATGTAATGTTAAATTTGTTTAAAACAGAGAAGTCGCTGGGTACACTGACACAGAAAACTTTTAATACAGAATGTCAACCTGTACAAGTAAAGTCTAGACAATCTTCACATCAGGGAAAAATCTGTGTTAATACATCAAAAGATAAATATGAGTGCTTTATAACAGGAACTACTCTGCTGACTCCTGATCTTCTTATCATCACTGATTGCAGCAACAAAGCTGTAAAGATGGTGGATACCAGTAGCCAATCTGTGTCTGATCAACTACAACTACATGATCAACCATGGGATATAACCACGGTAACCAGTACTGACCTTGCTGTCACACTTCCAAACAAACAAACAATACAATTTATATCAATCTCATCAAACAAACTTATAAAGAAGCACACTGTGAAGGTTGATGGGAAATGTCATGGTATAAGCTGTTATCAAGCTAAACTTGTTGTGTCATTCTCTCATCATGCAAAAATTCAGACCTTTGATATGAATGGCACTATACTGACAACAATTGATGGAAAAAATATTTTCCAAGATCTATGGTATATTGCATGTAACAGAAGTTCTATCTATGTATCTGACTGTGGGATGAAGACAGTAACAAAATTAAACTGGCAAGGTGATGTAATTGGTAGATATAGTTGTATGAGTTTTCCTAGAGGAATATCACTGTCAGATGATGGTACTGTCTTTGTGTGTGATAATATGAGAAATGTTATAGAAGAGATATCAGGAGATTGTTCTACAGGAAAGGTGGTGCTGCAGGATCTGAAGACTCCAGTGGCTGTATGTTGGTGTGGAGAAACAAAGAAGCTTTATTACAGCTGTTATGCTTGTGATCGAAAAATTGACAACTTCCTTCACATCCATAACCTGTCATGGACTTGAACAGAAACTTAGTTGAATTAAATCAAACAATGTCAGCGGTTCTTCAATATTAAAAAAAACTTGCATCATCCATTCTTCTGAAATATTAGCACAACACATGTTTTAAGTTTTGTTAGAATTTTTTTTAATGTTAAACTTTTATGTTATGAGTGATAAATGATTTAAGCAATCCTCTTGTTGTATTCTTATAATAGGTTTGGTGAAAAACAAGGAAACAAGTACCAGTAATGCTGGGAATACATTGAATAACAGGAGTACCTCAAGCATTTTTAATGCTTATTCAAGGCAACAGCTATCAATAACAAAGGGACATAATTCCTAAATGGATAATGTCCCCTGGTCATACAATTGTGCTTTGTGATGATAATCAAGTATTCAAGTTTCATGTTGATATTATTCACAGTTTTGAAATCATTCTACTTAATAAGCAAATTTGACAAAAGTCAAAAAGGGACATAACTCCAAAAGAATACCTTTAAGAATAATGCCACTCTAATTATGCTCAGTGTATCAACTGTGCCTTGATGACAACAACACCAACTACAATTCAGCAATAAAAAAACCTTGATTTTTTTTCTAAACAGACAAGCTAAAAATGCAAACTTTGTTTGTTTACATTGATAAATTGACTGTAATAGGTTATATCAATAAAGCATTTCATCTTTTATTTTACAAGAACATTATGATATGATAAAACTGGTGAGTTTTTTTTGTAATCATAAAATGCACTGTTTATATTTTATGTTACAAAACCTGCCCTGTTCCCAAGATTTTGTACTATATATCATTTTATAACACTTATATTTAAACAGATTACATCAATAAAATTAAGTATAAGCTGCTCGTTGTTGTTTAAATCATTGAGTTAAAACATAAGAATACTGTGACCCTGTGACCTTGACCTTTGACCCAGTGACCTCAAAATCAATAGGAGTCATTTACTAATCATGACTAACGTCCATGTCAAATATGAAGACTGTGGGTCAAAGGAAGCTCAAGTTATTGGGCGGACAAGCTTTTTCAATTCAAGGCTCTGTGACCTTGACTTTGACCCAGTGACCTCAAAATCAATAGGGGTCATCTACTAATTATTACTAACCTCAATGCCAAATATGAAGACAGTGGGCCAAAAGGAATCTCAAGTTATTGGGTGGACAAGCTTTTTAAAATCAAGGCCCCTGTGACCTTGACCTTTGACCCCAAAATCAATAAGGATCATCTACTAATCATGACTAATCTCCATGCCAAATATGAAGACTGTGGATCAAAGGAATCTCAAGTTATTTGGCGGACAAGCTTTTTAAAGTCAAGGCCCCTGTGACCTTGACCTTTGGCCCAGTGCATCAAAATCAATAGGGGTCATCTACTAATCATGACTAACTTCCATGCCATTATGAGGACTGAGGGGCAAAGGAATCTCAAGTTATTGGGCAGACAAGCTTTTGCTAAGTCAAGGCCCCTGTGACCTTGACCTTTGGCCCAGAGACCCCAAAATCAATAGGGGTCATCTACTTATCATGACTAACCTCCATGCCAAATATGAAGACTGTGGGCCAAAGGAATCTCAAGTTATTGGGTGGACAAGCTTTTTAAAGTTAAGGCCGCTGTGACCTTGACCTTTGGCCCAGTGACCCAAAAATCAATAGGGGTCATCTAATAACCATGACTTACCTCCATGTCAAATATGAAGACTGTTGACAAAAGGAATCTCAAGTCGTTGGGCAGAAAAGCTTTTTTTAAGTAAAGGCCCCTGTGACCTTGACCTTTGACCAAGTGACCTCACATCAATAGGGGTCATGTACTAATCATGACTAACCTCCATGCCAAATATGAAGACTGTGGGTCAAAGGAATCTCAGGTTATTGGGCGGACAAGCTTTTTTTTAGTCAAGGCCCCTGTGACCTTGACCTTTGACCCAGCAACCTCAAAATCAATAGGGGTCATCTACTAATTATGGGTAACCTCAATGCCAAATATGAAGACAGTGGGCCAAAGGAATCTCAAGTTATTGGGTGGACAAGCTTTTTAAGTCAAGGTCCCTGTGACCTTGACCTTTGACCCCAAAATCAATAGGGGTAATTTACTAATCATGACTAACCTCCATTCCAAATATGAAGACTGTGGGTCAAAGGAATCTCAAGTTATTGGGCGGAAAAGCTTTTTAAAGTCAAGGCCCCTGTGACCTTGACCTTTGGCCCAGTGACCCCAAAATCAATAGGGGTCATCTACTAATCATGACTAACCTCCATGCTAAATATGAAGACTGTCGGCCAAAGGAATCTCAAGTGATTGGGCGGACAAGGAAAAACCGACAGACGGACCGACGGACAAGATGTTTCCAGTATATCCCCCTTACAACCTTACAACTTCATTGTGCAGGGTAATAAGAGCCCCTGAGATCGCTCACCTGTATTTAGGCCCTGGGGCAGGGACAATTTTAACCCAGGGGCTTTTATTTGAAAAAACTTGGTAGACACTCACTAGAAGATATTTCATGCTTAGTATCTAAAATCTAGCTCTTTGTTTTTTGGGGTTTTTTTAAGAAGATTTTTTAAGATTTTACTATACACATATAAGGAAAATCAATGACCCCGGGGCGGAGCCAATTTTAAACCCAGGGCCCTTATTTGAACAAACTTGGTAAACACTCAATAGAAGATGTTTCATGCCAAATATCTAAGCTCTAGCTCTTTGGGTTTTTTAGAAGAAGATATTTAAAGTTTTTTCTTTTGGTTGCCATGGCAACCAGAGTTCTGCATGGAATTAAATTCTTTGAACAATTCTCAAAGGTTACCACCAAAGGAACATTCCTGTGAAGTTTGGATGAAATTGGCTTAGTGGTTTATGAGAAGATGTCATTTCAAGTAAAAGTTTACGGACGACGGATGGACGCCGGACGGACGCCGGACGAAAAGCGATCACGAAAGCTCACCCTGTCACGTCTTTTCTTCACTATCATTCGTTTAAAGAAATAACAAAAACATAAATGCAATACCAGACGTGCGATTTATTTTGCAGAGAGGAACAAATTCAACAGCAGTTAATGAAGCTAAGCAGCTTTGATATTGCAAAAAATAATATAACCAAATATCCACGAGATCTCAAGTAAATGTATACGCTTCTTTTCTTAAAAATAAAAGAGAAAAACACAAAGACTAGTCTGTGTATAACTGTTTTGAAAATTAATTACGCCGGAAAGGAAAGACAAAAATATTAAGTATGCGAACCGACTCGCCCAGGAAAACAACAGAGATCAAAAACATTTAAAATAAATGAAATGTCTCTGAAAAACCTGTGCCCGTTTGTCAAATGTCAGATCGCTTGAATGTCGGGCCTCATTCCTTGTGGATATAAAGTTATGAACATCGCTTATTCAATATTCATTATGACAAATCTTGTCATTGAATACCATAAATAGATTTATCTAATTATTATTGTAAACATCTTTACGTATGAATAATATAAAACAGTTAAATTCAACAACCTTATAGCATCATATAAGTGCTTATAGCCAATACACATATAAAGAAAAATTATACTCATATTTATTTTGTCTTCAAAAAAAACATAATTTTCTAAAATATTGTCAAAACCCTACTACCAATTTTCAAAAAAGAAAAAAGATGTTTCTTAATGATTATATAATAACAATTGATACATGCATAAAATCTGATTTTAACTTATACAATAACGATTGATGTACATGTATGTATAAAGTCTGATTTTTACCTTTACATTTTCAGCTAATGTTTTACGACAATTAAAAAACATTATATGCATATGCATATATTTCCACCCTATTATCTTTACTAGAAAATGTTGCTTGTACTGAATCGTCTGGTAGAATGAATATTTCATACACATAAACCTTTAAATACTACACTATCAAGCACTTAAAACTCGTGCACAAGTACTGACTAATACTTTACATTATAAACTATACAATCTCCTCTCCAAGGAGTCCGACACATACCCGTACTTACTATTTTCTCCTTTTCCAACGTCCGTGCCTCTTCCAGCACCTGTCATTAACGCCAGCGTTAGCCGCCATGGTAGCGCCCCCAGCGCGAAGAGAATGTTAACCGATGATCGAATCTCCAACAACCTCTTTTTAATCTAGAAACCAAACATTCTCTAACCCTAGTATAACTTAATGATTTGTTTTTGTGTATAAAACTACATTTCCCTTTTGATCTAAAACACGGTTTTAAACATGAAGCTGTCATCCGAAACTGACAAACCTGTAATTTTGAAAATATCTTTTAATCATGTTATACGGACATGCTACTGATACGCCCTTTGAAATAACGATTGTATTACCGTGTCGGTACTGGTCAGTCTTGCTTTTTCTGATATACACAAGAAAAATGATTGTCGTAAAACTGAATATCATTACAATGCAAATAACTTAACTCATTTAACCTCCAAAAAACCTGAGAAAGTAGTAAAATCATTGATAGATCCCGAATGACTAGCACATCATTGCAGTGACAGTATTTTCTCGCATAAAGTTATTAAAACGTCTGATGTGATTGGCTCCTTTTTAATAACAGGCTTTGAAAGTGTTCGTTTGGAAGATTCCATTAAGTTAATCACAAACATATTGTCTGTTGGGTCGGGTAGATTCTTTAACGAATGAGCCCATTTAATACTATACACAGTATTGCAAATCACAGAATTCGGCGAATGTTTGTCAATAAGATCTGTTAAATATAATGCTATATGAATTGGAGATGCAGGAATAGATAATCCGCCCTTTGAACTAATGAAATGTTCCCATTTCTTGAAATAAGAATAATACTTGGTGACAGTACTGTTACTTTTCGATTGTGTTAAAAAAGAAGCCATCTTAAAGGAAAGATCATCGAAACAGTCATGTTGTATTCCACTCTGCTGTATTTCCTCGTCAATTCTGTTTTTCAAACTCAGACCTTCGACTATTTTTCTCTGCGCTGAAGTAATTTCCTCACATGGAACCGTTTTCACAGCGTCTTGAAGGTAACCATCAGCTTCCTTCAACGTGTCAAGGACACGCACGTTGACCTTGTGTTGCTCTTCATTCCCCTTTTTACGGAAAGTGTAACTTTCGTTCGACGCAAAACCCTGATGAATCCTCGATATTTGAGCTTGAGAGAATTCTTTTTGAGAGGTTTCAAAATTCTGCCAATTTGGAAAAGATATCATTCTTCCATGCTTGAAAGAAGTTCATTTTGCCAGCATGGGCTCTAAAACGTGGTCTACCGGCAGTAAAAACGAATTTAAAGTTGCTTGTAACTGAATCGTCTGGTTAGAATGAATATTTCATACACTATAAACCTTTATAATACTACCACTATCAAACAGGTAAAACTTCGTTGCACAAGTACTGACCAACTTACATTTACTTAAAACTTACACGTACGAATAGAACAAGATATTTCATGCTTTACTAACGAAACGCGTGAAATAGATATTTGTGACAGGTGAGCTAAAAACAAATCAATAAAAAAATAAGCATTTTTTGATGTACCTGGCAAGGAACTCTACCATCCTCAAATAGGCATCTATCTGATCTTGAACAAATTCAGCGCTTGCATTCTTTTCATAGAAACTGCACAAACCCTGTAACATACAACTTACATGATTTTTATGTTATCAAAGATATTCATGTATACTATCAGGGGTATTTTGAAAAGATAGAATTTCTAATTTTTACAAATGTGTTTTTTATAGTTTTTATGGGGTTGTTTGTTTTGTTTTTTCCTTTTGATTTTAAGTGGGAGGATCCAATAATTCATAAATAATTCTTTAAGAAATTGAATCAAACTTTTTAATTATTAATAAGCTGCTTAGAAACCATCTTTTTGCAGAATGTATGCATTTAATAATAAATCAAAAACATGTTTATGTAAAGCTCCAATTAAAAATGATCATTAAATGCTATAAATGTTTAAGCTGTCAGTAAAGTTTGACCATTACATGTAGTTGCCTTATCAACAACTTACAAATCTAATTACCTGCCAATTAGTTTTGTGTTTGGCACAATGTGCCACTTGTTTTCACCTGTCGACAAGTTTCCTTGTGGTGCATATCATTTCATCTTGTAGTACAAATAATCAACCAGTAAATATATTTATGTTTGACATTTACTCCCGACATTTACTCCCTACATTTACTCCCTACAGTTCAAACTCATTAATTACCAAACAAGTTTATAGGACTTATATTAATCACCTAGAGTCAGAATAATAGTGATGTTTGACCTATGACAATGTCAGTATTTGACAATTTTACTTGTAGTGTTTGACCTACCTTGTATTTCAGCTTTTTACAATTTCACTAATAGTATTTGCCTTCCCTTGTAATGTCAGTCTTCTGAAAATGAACTTGTTGTGTTTGACATATATGTACCTGGCATTTTAGTCTTTGACAATCTTACTTATGGTGTATGATCTACCTGCTTTGCTTGCCTTAGTAATTCCTGTTTGTAATGTTATACTTACTGCCAGCCCGCATAGCTCCATCTGTTACAGCGTGAAATTTGTAATCCTGACATTGTAGGTTTGATTTCCGGGCTGGCCAACTAAAATCACTAATCAGTTTTTGGATGAGATTTTAAGTACGAGTGCTTCAACACTTGGCATGCTATAGAGAACCAGGAGAAGCTTCTGCCATTGGGGCATCTTTCTAAATCTGTATCTTGCACTATCCTCCAAAATCTAAAATGACTAATGCTCTTCTGGAGGACACGCCCATATGGGCAACCAGTTGCACTTCTGGAGGACATGAGTATAAATAAACTCAAATACACACACTTACTTATTTGTTGTGTTTGACCTACTTGCCATGTAAGCCTTTAACAATTTAACTTGTGGTGTTTGACTTGCCTGCCAGGGCAGCCTTTGACAACTTTACTTGTGGTTTAAGACCTACCTAGCATGTAAGGTTATAACAAATTTTCTAGGGATGTTTCATTTACCTGCCAAGCTAATAACTGTGTATCATCAGAATCTATTGCACGCTTGTATGCCTTCAATGCTTGATCATATTGTTCTAAACCTTCTGCAGCAACGGCAATCAGCACTAGGGCCATGAAGTGGTTTCCATCCTCAGATAATATTGCCTATAAAATTATAAATCAAAATGTATTGAATGTACATAACCTCTTTTAGAGAAGAAAAACACTATGCTAAAAGAAATTAATCAAAGTCAAGGTGAAGAACAGATAACATCATTGACTGCTTTTTGGATGGAAAAGAGCCGCGTCATGACAAAACCATCATAATGGGTTTGCGACCAGCATGGATCCATACCAGCCTGTGCATCCGCGCGGTCTGATCAGGATCCATGCTGTTCGCTTACCAACTCTATTACAAGTAGAGAAACTGATCGAGAACAGCATGGATCCTGATCAGTCTGCATGGATGCGCACGCTGGGTTGGATCCATGCTGGTTGCAAACCCATTATGTTGGTTTTGTCATGGCACAGCTCAAATGTGTAAATCCAGAGTGAGGCATGGCTGGTGCAACTGCAGATTTGTAAAGATTTCCAGGGTCCCGAGTTGAAGTCTTTGACAGATTGTATATTTTTCATACCTTGGAAGTTATCTAAAGATAATTTGCTGCAATATTCCTTCAAATGTTAACATAGTATTCATCATAAAAAGCACCAAAGACTTTAAGTAAAAATAAAATTAAGATAAACAGACTCAATATCTCTTTACCCTAAAATATCCTTATTAAAATCTTTTATTACTTTGTATTTACTAGTAAAAGAGCAAAATAAACACTAATTAATTTCTTCTATTCTAAATAATCCCATTTGAAGTGAAAAAAGTGATATTGTTAGCACCATAAAAAGTTGTTATTTACTTCGGTATTAATTGAACAGAGGTGTGAAGGTGTGAAAGGCAACAAAAGACTGTTGTGTTTTCAATCATGAAAGATGTTTGCATTGTATTTATACAGTTGACTGGTTACTGAACAATTAGATATGACATGAATATAATAATTATGTTGTAAATATTGTTTGTAAAAGTATGTTAAAACTATAAAGTTGTAAATATGTTATGTTAACTTTAAAGTAAATTATGATTTTATTTCTTTGCTGAATAATATTTGCAATTATTTGTTTGACACTGTATTTATTCAAACTTTGATGAATATATAAAAGTAATGGTACTGATACTTAATTACTTCACCAAAAAAAAAAGTACTGGTACTGCAGTACCGAGCTAAAATCTAGTACTGGTACTGGTAATGGTACTGCATAATTTGCCAAGTACTGGTACTGATACTGAAGTACTACACCCCTAGTACTGATGCAGCTCTGCTTGTAACTTGACTACTGCATCAATTATGATTTATATACATGTACACTGTATATGGTACCTTAAATAATTACTGCAACATAGTAGAGACTGAGTATCAGGTGTGAATAGATCATAGAAAGAAATTACATATAAAGAAGTATTTACTATATATTGTACATACAAATGTATGTGTAGAAACTTTCTTTCAAATCAAAGCTATTTTTCCTGCAAAATTCAATTAGTACTACATGTAAGATTTTTCTTCCTATTTTGAAATTGTACTGTGTTATTTTTTTCTCCAAATTTAAGGGAAGGCCCTTCCCTAATCTGTGTGAAAAGCCCTGCTATATAATATCAAGACAACCTGCTAAAAAATATTTAGTTTCCTTTGCAATACAATTTCAATGCTCATTATTGATATAATTTGCTCATTTTTATAATGTTTTTAAACAAATTCATTTTAGTTTGTTTATGTAGGAAGCTATTAGCTTATATGCACACTCTCAAATCTGTTTCTGAAACCAACCAGTACGAAACAATGAGTATATAGTTTCTTGCTCAAGGAAACAGAGGCTTGCCTCAGATGGGGTCTAAACCCACAGCTATTGATCCTTAGATTACTAATTTGACGCATGAACCACTCAGCCATTCCACCACCACATTTATAGTATCCCTTTTATACTTTTAATAGCCTGTCTCAGGAAAAGGTCAATACACAACCACAACCAAATACAGGGGAAATACAGGAAATCAAATATAATGAATGGTCACAATTACTTATATACATGTATAACTTAAACATCAATGCTTCAAAATATATGACATACCTTGCAATGTTTTAAGGCTTCTTTGAATTCTTTTTTTCTGATGGCCTCTCGAGCATTCTTAAGAAGTGTCTTTATCTCTTTTGCATCCATCTGTTTTTAACTGAAAACAACATAACACCAGTGGTTTTAACAAAGACATAAGAAAACACATGCAAATGACTGCAAAACAGACTTCAAACTCAAGGCAGTGTTATGTGATTAAAGATAAGCGAGATGAGATTATATTCAAGTAAAGAGATTCAAAATGGAACTGAAATTGCTGATTCAGTAGCATTTTATTCACTTTGCCAAAATTCATGTAATATTTTCTGCCCATGTTTTCAACCGCAATAGCATTTTGTTCGCTGTGACACTGACAGAGATGTAGATAACAGAGATAAGCAGCTCCTATTTACTTCATTGAGATATCACTCATGCCTATCAAAAAGTGAACAAGAGCTGTCGGTAGGACAGCAACGCTCGACTATTCTTAGTGCTTGATAGTAAAAAAACAAGAGGGCCATGATGGTCCTGAGGCCGCTCACCTGTATATAGCCCCCCCACACACACACCCATAAGAAGATGTTTCATGCTCAAAAACATCTAAGCTCTAGCTCATTGGGCTTTTTAAAAGAAGATTTTTTTTAAAGTTTTTACTATACACATATAGTTAAAAACAATGACACCCCTGGGGCGGGGCCAGTTTTGACCCCAGGGCTTTTATTTGAACAAACTTTGTAGACACTTACTAGAAGATGTTTCATGCTTAATATCTAAACTCTAGCTATTTGGTTTTTTTTAAAAGAAGATTTTAAGTTTTTGCTATACACATATAAGGAAAATCAATGACCCCCGGGGCGGGGCCAGTTTTGACCCCAGGGCTGTTATTTGAACAAACTTTGTAGACACTCATTAGAAGATGTTTCATGCTTAATATCTAAACTCTAGCTATTTGGGTTTTTTCAAAGAAGATTTTTTAAGTTTTTGCTATACACATATAAGGAAAATCAATGACCCCGGGGCGGGGCCAATTTTGACCCAACGGCTTTTATTTGAACAGACTTGGTAGACACCTATTAGAACATGTTTGATGCTAAATATCTTAGCTCTAGCTCTTTGAGTTCTTTAAAAGAAGATTTTTTAAGTTTTTACTATATGCATATAGGGAAAATCAATGACCCCCTGGGGCGGGGCCAATTTTGACCCCAGGGCTTTTATTTGAACAAACTTGGTAGACACCCATAAGAAGATGTTTCATGCTAAACATCTAAGCTCTAGCTCATTGGGCTTTTTAAAAGAAGATTTTTAAGTTTTTACTATACACATATAGTTAAAAACAATGACACCCCTGGGGCGGGGCCAGATTTGACCCCAGGGCTTTTATTTGAACAAACTTTGTAGACACTTACTAGAAGATGTTTCATGTTTAATATCTAACCTAAGTTATTTGTTTTTTTTTCAAAGAAGATTTTAAGTTTTTGCTATACACATATAAGGAAAATCAATGACCCCCGGGGCGGGGCCAATTTAGACCCCAGGGCTTTTATTTGAACAAACTTTGTAGACACTCACTAGAACATGTTTCATGCTTAATATCTAAACTCTAGCTATTTGGGTTTTTTCAAAGAAGATTTTTTAAGTTTTTGCTATACACATATGAGGAAAATCAATGACCCCCGGGGCAGGGCCAATTTAGACCCCAGGGCTTTCATTTGAACAAATTTGGTAGACACCTATTAGAACATGTTTGATGCTAAATATCTTAGCTCTAGCTCTTTGAGTTCTTTAAAAGAAGATTTTTTAAGTTTTTACTATATGCATATAGGGAAAATCAATGACCCCCTGGGGCGGGGCCAATTTTGACCCCAGGGCTTTTATTTGAACAAACTTGGTAGGCACTCATTAGAACATGTTTCATGCTAAATATCTTAGCTCTAGGTCTTTGGGTTCTTTAAAAGAAGATTTTTTAAGTTTTTACTATATGCATATAGGGAAAATCAATGACCCCCTGGGGCGGGGCCAATTTTGACCCCAGGGCTTTTATTTGAACAAACTTGGTAGACACTCACTAGAAGATGTTTCATGCCAAATATCTAAGCTCTAGCTCTTAGGATTTTCAAAAGAAGATATTTAAAGTTTTTTTCTTTCGGTTGCCATGGCAACCAGAGTTCTGCATGGAATTAAATTCTTTGAACAATTTTGAAAGGTGACCACCAAAGGAACATTCCTGTGAAGTTTGGATGAAATTGGCCTAGTGGTTTATGAGGAGATGTCATTTAAAGTAAAAGTTTACGGACGACGGACGGACGCCGGACGAAAAGCGATCACAAAAGCTCACCCTGTCACTTTGTGACAGGTGAGCTAAAAATGCTTGATACAATTACCTCTTCCTGTTTACAGGTTGGGGTAATGATGGTGAACAAGTGTGCAAAGTTTCAAAGCCATATGTCAATGGACTTTGAAAATATTTGAACTATTACAAAAACTTGAATGTAAATTCTAAGTCAAAAAAGGGGCATAATTCTGTCAAAATGCTTAATACAGTAACCTCCTCCTGTCTACAGGTTGGGGTAATGATGGTGAACAAGTGTGCAAAGTTTCAAAGCCATATGTCAATGGACTTTGAAAATATTTGAACTATTACAAAAACTTTAACATAAGTGGTTACGCCGACGCAGACGCCGACACTGACGCCGACGCTCGGGTGACTACAATAGCTCTACTTATTCTTATCGAATAGTCGAGCTAAAAATGAGGTATTTTGTAGCAATTAAAACTTCAAAGAAAACACCATTTGAAAGTTAAAGGAACTCCACTGAGATTCAAAAGCCTAAAATCATAAAATTTGAATTTTTACATTGATCAGCTGGAGCACTTAAAACATGAAGATGTATGCAAAAAATTAAGAAATATACTCCGATATGAATTGAAAAGCTTTTCAATGTTGGGTCATTTTTCACACTTTGAATAATTATCCTGGATAAACCGCAAGAGAGAATGACCTAAAATTTTTGCACACAGGTTACTGATCTAGACCTACATCAGTGGAGTCCCTTTAAATCTGTTATCTATTGCAGCTTGTTAAAATATTGGTATAAACTTTCCATGCCTTACACTTAGAAAAAACATAGCAGAACATACCTTCTGAGCCAGCAACAGAAATTAATAAGTAGTTCTCTTCAAAAATTGATGTATCATTTATTTAAATGGGAACTTTAAATATTTTAGCTGCAGCCAAAGACAAATTTATAAGCTTTCAGAAAATGTATTATTTTACTGATATCGATATTTGGTTAATAAGCTTCACTTGTTACAAGTTTTAAGTTAACCTAACACACATGATATTTTAACTGGCTAGGAAGATGCCTACCTCGAGAACTGATATCTGCATGTATGTCTCTGGCTATGACAATTTTTGTTGAATGTCAAAACAACCTGTGTCTCTCTGAAGGGAAAATATAGAGCTTGATAATTCTGAAAAAGGAAAGATTTGAAACTTATCCTGTCCGAGGACTAGTCAAAATATATTGATGTGCAAAAGCTAGATTATGAGATATTTTTGTTTTGGGTCTGAATCTCACGCATACACAAAATAGCACAATATCTTATTGTGTAGTTGCACTAGACTGTGGGTGTTCTCTTACTCTCTAGCCCAATATATTACATGTAGATCATACAGGCTTATAATATTTTATTGATGGTCTAACTGAATTTGCCAAGAAGAAAATATATCTCAAGGCAATGTCATACATGGCGGCACGAAATACCCAAATATACCCAAATACACCCAAATATACCCAAATATAGCAATTTTTATTTTTGTTTGTATAAAATATAGATTATAATGAGAAATAAATAAATATTTATAAAATAATATGACTTAGCCTGCTATAACTTTCATTCATTCCGTTGAAATGGGCAGTTAAGATGTTGTAAGAAAATAAAGTTGTGACATTTGCTTATCTACAATATCGCTTCTTTATGAATGCAATTTTAATTCGAGATATGATATTTGTTGTCTACACTTTCTTTTTTAAGGTGTAATTTTGTTGAAATTTCATATCATATAGAAGAAGAATGTCCATGTTATTAAAAAAATAGCTTTAATGGAGTACATATACTGTATCTTGGTTCAAAACACAATGATAGGAAAATGTATATTTGGGTATGTTTGATTATATCTTAGTGAAAGTGTATATTGTATTCATGATTAAAACAGCACTTTTTTAGTATAAAACATTTATTTTTTGTATAATTGGACAATATTTGGGTATATTTAGGCAATATTTGGGTATATTTGGGCAATATTTGGGTATATTTGGGTGTATTTGGGTATATTTGGGTATTTCGTGCTGCCCGTCATACATGTATTTCAGACATGGGGTAATCGTAATCGGTAATTGAATTTAATTTAATCGATTACAATTTTTTGAGTAATCACAGTAATCAGCAATCATAATTTTGTTCCAGTAATTTAATCATAATTTAATCAATCACATGACCAATTAATCAGTAATCACAATGATTACATGTATGATAACAATACATGTTCAGCTAAAAAAATGCTGAACAAACATACATAATTTATAAAGGTTAAAAAAGTACCAGTGTCAATGCCTACTAATTGTCTTAGGTAGTGTAGGTGAATTACATGCAGTCACCCAGGTCAGATTTGATGACACCTGTGTTTTAATAAGGTGATGAAAAGATCACTGACTGATTGACCCAATACATAAATGATTGTCACAATTATACCACTTAAATTTAGCTGTGAAATTATAACAGGTATATTATCACTTACTGAGAAGACTTAACAGGTTCAGTAAAGAGCTGATATAAGCTGCAATTACTGACAAAAAGTGAAATATAGTTATATTTTCTGTTACATTTTGGGATTGTTAAGTCCATGTAGAAGCAACAAGTACAAAAAGATTTTCATCATATTGAAAAGAAAGCAATACGCAAGCATGGCAGGAAATATGCCTGCTGTTTTTAAATACTTCATATTGCCAGAAAAAATTCCTGATGATGGCAATGTGAGAGCTAAATGCACACTTTGCGTTTCATATGAGAATATAGCTTAGTAAATAGGAGGCAACACATGTACATATGTAGACTGAATTAATTACTGTAAAACTAAGCTGGATTATTTTTTTGTACATTTGTTGTATTGAAATGTTCAATAAAACGATAGTGTTGAACCATTGCATTTCTTAACTTATGTACATGTAATCAGTAATCATAAATGAAATCTGATTACTCCTGTCAGTAATCAGTAATTTAATCAATTACAATGTCAAAATGGAGTAATCAGTAATTTAATTTAATCAAGCATTTTGACAAATAATCATAATTTAATCATTTACAATTGTCAAGTAATCGCCCCATGTCTGATGTATTTCTAGGACTAAGCGGAGATATTAGTCTGTTACCGTAACAGAAACTCTTTTACCATACACTGACTTTAACAGTTTAATGCAAAACATTATAGTAACAAGCCTATGTTCGCAATACTATTAATGAAATTAAAGCAAATTAAAAACGATGGCACGAATAACAGCACCCTATATATGTCACTGTAGTTGCATTTCTTAACTTATGTACATGTAATCATGACGTCATGTGCGACACCAGGCGTTCGAAAAATGTGCTCCGACAAAATTTAATTTAATTTAATTTTTTCATGGTAATTACTGCAAGATAGATGACGACACTTGCTGAAAACGTGGATTATGATCGATAGTATCATTTGGAAAAGGAACTTTTGAAATTTGTTGTAACTTTTGCGTGTAATTTTGGGTGAAAATTACGACCACCTTACCCCACCCACCTACTTTTACATTAGTTTGAGTGCGCATCATTTTGCGCAGGATTCCAAAAATCGACAAGCGCGCGCATCCTATTGCGCAGCAACAATGGCCGCGCCCATGAAGAACAAGGGAACTTTACATTTGCTATGTTTAGCACTATTTTTACTAGTTATAGCTCTGTCTAGCGAACTAAATGCTACTAATTCCTTCCAGACATTGATTGAACCCTCGAAACCCAGTATCATGAAGCTTGCAATTGCTACAAGAACCATCAAATGGCGAAGCGCATGTTATATTAAAAACAATGTTGGAACAAACTTTATATTGTGTTTATTATTGATCCAGTCGGGTGACATAGAAATTAATCCTGGACCTAAAACCTTGAAATATCCTTGTGGAATTTGTAATAAAAATATTGGTTCCTGGAATGTTAAAGCTGTACAATGTGACTGCTGTGACACTTGGTACCATGCTAACTGTGCAAAAATCAGTAGTGAAACTCTTGCATACCTTGATATTTTAGAGGTAGTTTGGATCTGTAAAAAGGATGATTGTGGCATCCCAAACCTATCTAGAGTGTGCTCTTTTGACTTAGATGACTTTTTATTAGAAAATACTTTCTCACCATTAGTGAAAGACTCTGCTAGAATTAGCAGTACGCAACCAGTACCACCAGTAAACATTAACTTATCTTCGTCCCCACCTCGGAGAGGAATCTCGCGTCCCTTGAAACGAGATAGTTTATCGTTTGTAGCATCAACACCGCGCGTATTACTACCGTCTACCGATCTGGATAGTAACATTTCACATATTTCTAACGTAACATCAACACATTCCGGTAGTGTTGAATCTGAGCTTACATCATCATTTTTGGGTGACATGGAATCAAGTAGTGATAACCCATCTGTGGATAGTATTCGTTCACTTTCTAAATCACTCCACGTTAATAAGTCTCACTTGAAATTCGAAGTGATAAATTTCCAGAGTATTCGTAATAAGAAAACGGAGTTATACAACATTATAGCTAGTAAAGCGCCGGATGTTATCTTAGGCACTGAAACGCATTTGAATAGTGAGGATCTGAGTGCTGAACTCTTACCAACAAATATCCCGTCTATTGACAAATATCAAATATTCAGGAAAGATCGGTCAGAATTAGTGAACAAACGCGGCGGTGGTGTTATTATAATGGTTAGACCTGGCTTACAAGCTGAGGAATGTTCAGATTTAGACTCTGCCTGTGAAATAAAATGGATTAAAATCAAAATTGATAAAAACGAACAAGTTTTAGTTGGATCTTTCTACCGTGAACCAAAGGCTACTTTAGAAACATTAGATGAACTTGAAAATTCACTATTAAAAGCGAACTGTACTTCTCCATACAAAAATATGAAGAAATTTCTAGGGGGTGATTTCAACCTCGGAGATGTGGACTGGGATAACGGATGTACATTGCCAAATGCTAGGGATAAGACTTTTTGTGATAAATTAATCGATATAACTTCAACTTGTTTTATTGAACAAATTAACAGAACCCCTACACGTAAGGGTAGGATTTTAGACTTATTCTTTACGAGCCATCCAACACTCATACAACGACACGTAGTCGGACCACCTATCGGGCTTAGTGACCATGATATCTTATCTGTAACAACATTTATCAAGCCGGTTATTAACAAACTACCGCCGAGAACCGTGTTTAATTATAGAAAAGCGGACTGGCGGAAAATTAAAGATCGTGTGCTATCATTTCAACACGAGTTTCTGCGTAATATACATAACAACACAGTTGATGTAAACTGGAACAATTTTTAACAAATATTATTAGAATCAATGGAACAATATATACCGAAGAAAACTGTAAAAGGGAAATCGGACATACCGTGGTTATCAAAGAATATCAAACGGCTTATTAAGAAAAAACGCTACTTATATAACATTGCAAGAAAAAGTAATAACGCAAGTGACTATAAAAAATTTAGGCGACCTTCGCAAAACTGTAAGGAATAAATTACATACTTCCTACTACAATTACATTAGTAATCTTCTAGATCCAGAAAATGATAAATCTTCGAAATCCTTTTTGGAAATATATAAAGTCTCGTAAACAAGACAGCGTGAACATTGGAACATTGAAAAACAACGGTCAAATCGCCGAATCCGCTAGTCATAAGCAGAAATGCTTAACAACCAATTTTGTTCAGTATTTACGAAAGAATCTTTGGACAATCTACCAAATAAAGGAACTTCGCCATACCGCTCGATGCCCAAGATAAACGTTACATTAAATGGCGTTGTTAAGTGTATTAACAGACTTAATCCCAAGAAAGCTTCTGGGCCAGATAAAATACCTATCATAGTCTTGAAAGAATGTGTAACTGAAATAGCACCAATTATACGGTCTTTATTCCAACAGTCAATTGATAAATCTGAAGTACCATTGGACTGGAAAAACGCTAACATTGTACCAATTTTTCAAAAAAGGTGACAGAACCAAACCATCGAACTACCGCCCTGTAAGCTTAACCGCAGTTGTTTCTAAAAATGATTGAACATATAATAGTTTCGCAAGTAATGAACCATTTAGACAGCCAGAACATTCTTCATGAAAACCAACATGGGTTCAGGGCTAAACGCTCGTGTGAATCTCAACTTCTATTAACTACAGATGACATTGCTCGTAGTGTTAATCTTGGTCACCAGGTTGATATGGCGGTGCTTGACTTTTCTAAGGCTTTCGATAAAGTGTCACATCAGCGTCTCTCTGTGAAAATGCAATATTATGGTATATGTAATGAAACCAACTTATGGATTAATGAATTCCTTAACGGTCGTTATCAACGAGTAGTAGTAGACGGAGAATCATCAAGACCGTCCCTGGTAACATCTGGCGTGCCCCAGGGAACCGTGCTTGGTCCTGCATTGTTTTTACTATATATTAACGACATCGCCTCGGATATTAAGTCATCAATTCGCCTATTTGCTGACGATTGTGTAATCTATAGACCCATACTCACCAGCGAAGATCATAATATTTTACAAAAAGACCTGGACACCTTAGTTGATTGGAGTAATATCTGGCAAATGGAATTTAACGTCGATAAATGCGCAACCATGTCAATAACAAATAAACGTAACAAATCTGTATTTGACTACAAAATGAAAAATCAATCACTACATGTTGTTAAAAACCATCCATATCTGGGAGTTGAACTAGCAGATACTATGAAATACAACCTACACATCGATTCAATCACAGCAAAAGCTTCTAGTACTCTTGGTTTCATCAAACGGAACTTAAAACATTGCCCGACCACAGTAAAGGAAAGAGCTTATCAAACTTTGGTTCGACCTAAACTGGAATATGCGTCACCAATTTGGAATCCCCAACAACTTAATACATCAAAGAAACTTGAACAAATACAACGGAACGCGGCAAGATTCGTCATGAATAAACCATTCAATCGTTACAATCCATCTAGCGTAACATCAATGCTACACAACCTAAAATGGCCAACACTTGAACAACGTCGTCAGTGTGCGGACTTAATTCTTATGTATAAAGTGTTTAATAACCTGGTGGCTGTACCAGTTGAATACCACCCACAACTATCTACAAGATACACAAACTCGGTAAAGTTCGTCACTTATCACTGCAAACTTAACGCGTACACAACATTCATTCTTTCCAAGAACTGTACCTTATTGGAACAACTTACCAACTAACATCACAACTGTGGACAATCTGGACAGTTTTAAAACTGCTGTCCAGTCATACGTATATGTGTAAATTATTAAAATCGTGTATAGTGTACAAACATGTTGGATTTTACTTCACACTACGTTTTCACATTATTTTAACTCGAACGCCTGGTGCCGCACATGGGGGACAGGTTTTTAGCCCACGTTTTTTAATGGAGCACATTTCACATCACCACTCGTCGCTGATGTCTGCACAGCGGATTTACAGACGAGATCAACATAGAAGTAGAAGAAGTTAAAATTCCTTGTCCGAATTTCATTACAGTTTAAATTTTCATGATAATTTATTTCAACTGTTTGATGTGTCATGGGCTATACTTGTAAATTTATCAACAGAATTAATGATTTTGTAATACTATCATATTTAGAAATGTTTTGGATCAATCTGAAAATGTGATAAAACGAGTTTGCAAACCAAAAATAAGAGTTGTTGTTGTTGTTGAGGGGCACGGGCTAAAATGCGCACATTGCTTGTGTGTGTATTTGTGTTTATTTATACTCGCCACCGGTTGCCCATATGGGCGAGTCCTCCAGAAGAGTATTAGTCATTTTAGATTTTTGGAGGATAGTGCAATTACAGATACAGAAAGATGCCCCAATTCCAGAAGCTTCTCCTGCATGCATGGTTCTTTAGCGTGCCAAGTGTTTAAGCACCCATACACGGGACCTCGATTTAAAGTCTCATCCGAAAGACTGATTAGTAATTTTAGTTGGCCAGCCCGGGAATCGAACCCACAATGTCGAGATTACAAGTCTCGCGCTCTAACCGATTGAGCTATGCGGGCTGGCTGCACATTGCTTAATATTTCGATGATATTTAAGGATATGTATATATGTCAAACCACATCAAGAATATCTGTCACTGTAATATAATGACTTTTATCAGTATCGGTTTTTTTCACCAATAAAGTCTCTGCAATTACATGTTTTGTTATGATTTACAAAATGACTGCTCTAGATATTGTTTGAAACCATTCTGAAAATGACTTGGTACGCACACTATCAATTAAGTACAATACAACTTTTATAACATGCTCTTCTCAACAAAGATACATACAAATGATCGAAGAATGTTCAAACATGACACACATAAAAGTTTAGAATTACACGGTCCTTGATCTTTTTTCAACAAAAGCCGATTTATTAATAATTATTGCTCCATATTGCTAATATTGTACGAATATTTCTAAAGCGCATTTGAATGTAAACTTTCAAAACGCTTTGTCCTAGAAATATCATAGAGCAAAGCTTTAGAAATATTATAGAAGAAAGGGTTAATGCACCTTTTGCGTTGGCAACAGAAGCACAAGGATTCACTTAAAGCACGAACTCGAACTCGCAGGGCATGTGATTCAGTAACAGTCCGAGGGCTCCTGCATGAAAAGAAGCTGCATTAGATGATATTCTAGCTAAGCTTGACTTTGTCTGTATCTTGTATAAAGAAACCATTTTCTCGTGCTTTCTATTGTTCTAGTGCGATGTCAATTGACGTGCAACAAAGGCACGAGATAATGTGAATCTTTATCCGTTAATACATGTTTCCTTCTCCGTTAATGTAACAAGAGCTGTCCGTAAGACAGCGCGCTCGACTTTTTTATTGCTTGCCAATAAAAAAAGTTTTTGCAGTAAAAGGCAATACAAGAATCTCTGTATTTTTAAAGTGAACTAGTTGTTTGATACCCTTGAATATTACAGCAATGTTTATATGACATAATTTATGGTAAAGTGAAACAAGTGGATAGGAATGAATTTTTTTAGATTTTTTAAGTTTTTTAGTGCTGCCTATAATAACAAAACATTGACAGTTAAGGGCCATAATTCAAATAAAATCTTTGACAGAATTACCTTCTCCTGGACATGTTTTGGAATCATGATTGTAAACAAGTATTCCAACTTTCAAATTAATATCTCAAACAGTTCAGTCAAAAAGTGGACTGGTACTAAAAACTTAACCAAGATTCTAAGTCGATAAAAGGCCTTAATTTTTAAAACAAATCCTTGACAGAGTTACCTTCTCTTGCGTACAATGGGGGTAATGATGTGAAATAGCATTAAAAGTTTCAAAGCAATATCTCAAAGGGTTAAGGCAATAAGTGGATTTTACCCATATTCAATGTATTTTCTAAGTCAAAAAGGGCATAATTCTGTCAAAAACCTTGACAGAGTTATGTCCTCTTGTCTGTTGATGAAGGTCGTGATGGTAAACAAGTATGGTCAGTTTCAAAGCAATACCTCCAATGGTTTTGAAATAAAGTGAGGTGGTACAAAAAAACTTAACCAAGCTCAATACACTTTCTAAGTCAAAAAAGGGCCATAATTCTGTCAAAAACCTTGACAGAGTTATGTACTCTTGTCTGTAGATGGAGGTTATGATGGTGAACAAGTATGGTAAGTTTCAAAGCCATACTTGTAATACTTCTGAAATAAAGTGGGGTGGTACGAAAAACTTAACCAAGGTGTGACGCCAACGCCGACGCCGACGCCGGGGCGAGTAGGATAGCTCCCCTTTTCATAGAAAAGTCGAGCTAAAAACTGGATTGGAATCTGTTATAACATAGCATATACACTTTTACATGCAGAGTCATTTTCAAGAAAATAGTAAAATACACTTCAATTTACTGTTTCTCTTTTGTGTTAAAAGGGTACAACATCATCTTAAATATATTTTCTTCGAAATGAAACTATTTTCTGCTAAAATAATATTTAGAATAATTATGAAAGTATTGTGCAGATAACAATTCGACCGATCTTTTTTGCTCGTGCACATTAATTTGAATGCCTTTATATATAAAAAATATAGCAGAAATGACCAGAATAAAAGTACAGCATATTAAAATCTAGTTTATGGTTTCATGTATCTACACTGAAATAAAACAACAAAAACATTCACATTCTTACCAATAATTTCGAATATACAATTTTGATCTTATTCAAATTCTAGTGCAGTTGTGAACTATTTAATCTACGTGTTACTAAGTGTACATGCTATGGGCACAAGCTAGGTGTTGAAACATCACCTATCTTGTTGAGGGCATTGGAGGGAGGGGGGGCATGTTACCATGGATGAAGACGGGTATTACTTGTCTAGTTGGAACACATTAAGTAATTTACAGCCCATCTCGCAACATGCTGCACTCCTCCCTTATATGATAGCTTATACAAGCTAAAAGACATCTCTTGTTGAATCGAAGGAAATATTCACGGAACATTAAAGTGGATTAGAGCAACTTGCATTTATTTCATCCAAGGTTTATAACATGTTTTACAACATAAAAATTTCTGTGTGACAATTGACCTTGGGCATTGTATCTAGTGGCCATTTGTTTCTAACTGCTGATTTAAAAATCAAGTGGTGTCACTTGGGAAGAAATTGGTAATTAATAGTTTGTAATCCATGAAAGCTGGTTAGGTGGGCTAACCATCCAGATATGACCAAAAATGTGATACAATCGCCATAAAAAACAGATAAACAAAATTAAGTCTAGAAATACGAGTTTTCTTTATTTCAAATAAAGTTCATAAAATAAGGTGATACACATAGTTACTTTATTAATCCTTTACTTGAGATAAAGTCACAAATTTCACTTGCAGTTGACAGAACAAAGAGCTGAAATTTTAATTGGTCTTGGCACTATCAGATTGGTGTTTTGTTTGTTTTACCCATGCTGTAAATTTCCATGGGTAGTTACAAGGCTTGCTGGTTACCCTCAATACAGATATTCCTGTCTGAACTGCAACACATAAATCTACTAAAAATTTCCAATCTAAAATATAACGACATTACATCATACTTTTGTATTCATGTATATCTTGTTTTAATTTTTTTTTTCAATATTCTGAAAATTTTCTTATATTAAACAATACTGTTCAGCAATGGCATTATTTTAAGTTGATCACAGATGACTGTTTTTAAGCAGTGATATTTTTATAATAATTTAATGATTCTGTATCCTCAGCTAATGTTGCATCATCCAGGATAACCTGTAAATACAAGATGGAATTTATTTATACATCTTCACAAGAAAAGTAAGGTAATAAAATCATTGATGCATTGTTTTAAACCATTATCAGGTGTAATATATCATATGGACTTGTCCATTTTTCTAAATTGAAAAGATAAATATTATTTTAAAAGTAAGATACAAACATAAATTTTCCATCAAAAAAATTCACTGATTCCGTTCCCAAGCTAGCTTCATCAAAACAGAAACGTGAACCACTACTTATATAGAAACAACCTACCTCAGTTATCGCAAAAATTTATACACGTTGAATTGTACAAGTTTGCACAGTTAATAATATGGTGATTGGAAACAAAAAACAGTACTTGCAATAAAGTGTACACATTAATTGTATAAACTAGCAGTAAAAAGTGATTTGTTTTCTATACCATTATTACCCACATGATGTCAAATAAATAAATTACAATGTAACGCCATTTGGCGGCATAGGAAAGTGCAACATCAATAATATGCATATTTATATTTAGTTTAAGTTAAAATGTATAAAAACATGTCATGCTCATTGATATAAAAGTTTCCTATAGATATCAACAAATATTCTACATCTTACAAACAGTCTAATATAGCTTTATACTTATAAAAAGCCATTTTCCACAAGAGTGCTACAAATCATGTTTTTTTTTTTTTTTTTTTTTTTTTTTCAATTATGGAATATATAAAACTGATTTGACAAAAAGAAGGGAACATGCTTATCTACACAAAAAGTATTCTGAATTAACCAGAAAATGATGAAGTACAACCATTTCATAAAAATCTTAACTAATTAATAATAAAAAAGAAAAGTCATCACCTTACTGCAATAATGGGTTAACTCCTATTAAATTATATAAAGAGTTAACCCATTACTGTACTAAGGTGACAAAAGTATTTCTCTTATTTCACAAACCTGAATCAGTTCTGAGTCTTTCTTCGAGTTAACAAGTATGTGTAGAAGAGCTTGTCTTGCTATAGAGAGGTCATGACCTTGACTTCCTGTCACATGACAATCTAATATCTTCTGCAGCTGATGTTTTGCTAACCTATAAATCAATACCAGAAAACATATCAATAATTATCAAATGAACAATAGGGCAGATATTTTATTTAATTTTTTTTTCAATATTTTGAACTACTGCTAAAATAACATGACTTTTACACTGAGGTCCCTAAAAATCGCAAATGGACAGTCTTAAATCCAAACAGGGACAGTCCCAAATCCAAATAGGGACAGTCCCAAATCCAAACAGAGACAGTCCCAAATCCAAACAGGGAAAGTCCCAAATCTTAACTGGGACAGTCCTAAATCCAAACGGGGCAATCCATTTTGCAAATTCAGATTTTTGTTCCAATCTCAGCAGTCAGTCCATCTAACTGGCTTTCATGGATAACTAACCAGTAATTACCAATTTCTCCGTAAGTGACCCACTTCTAATCCTACATAATTTCTAAATCATCAGTGTGAGAAACAAATGACCATTAGACTCAATGTCCGAGGTCAATTGTCACAGAGAAATTATGCCTTGTTTGAGGATTGAACCTGTACCCCTGGATTACAAATCCAATGCTCCCCTTATTAAGCTAAGCAGACAGTGACACTTAATGAATAGTGGGAATAAATATCTAAATAAAATAACCTTATTTTAGTGGTAGTTTTAAAAACCCCCTGCTTTAAAATTTAACAGAAAATGCTTTTGGATGATCTCCCAATTCTGACTACTTTTTCTTTGAATATTTCCCCTGTTGGGGTTTAAAATTTACTGAATTTTTTCTAAAAAATAAAAAAAATAAATGTCTGAAACTTTTATAAATATATAATAAATTAAATTTTCTTGTCTAAAAATTAATGTATTTTTCATGGCAAAGATTATGAGAATCTTTATTTAAAAGAAAAAAAAAACTACATTTGCCAACTTACTGATGGAACCAGATGATCTCAAAGTGATTGTATGATTGAATAGTTGAGATACCCAAGGAAAGGGTTGACAGACTGGGTTTGATCGGGTAGTAGGGGTAATTTAGTACCGGAATGTTGAACATTTTATGACATTTTTGTTTAACTAACACTGTATTACAGATACTATTATTCCTCTTGCATGTATTTTGATGATATCTCTAATGGTGAAACTACCACAATAATTTGTATTAAGACAATTACCAGAATCTGCTGAAATGCCAAATGTGCCATCTTGAGCAAAAACACTTGATTTGCACTGAAGTAGAAAAATAATCCAGATGCATGTTTTTATACAAAACTTTTCACTTTCACCATTATCTGTGGCATTGTATTTATATCAGAGAAAGTATCATTTTCCCCCCTAAAAAATGATAAATGGTATTGTCCAGATTGTTCATTTTAAGATATTCAGCATGGTAAGGGGTATTGAATAATTAGGTGAGACCACTAGATCTGTAATTAGTAATTCATTCATAACCTGGTAATACCAGTATTTATGGAATCTTTTACTGAAAAAAACTTTTAAAGAGTTGTTTTATCGGACCTAGATGACGCATGTACCAAAATATCTAAAAGAACATTAAGATGAACATTCTGATACATTTCATAAAAATCTAACCAAAACTGTGACCTTAATTAAGATGGTTAAAATCCAAAATGTGGAAAACAGAAGACCAATGACAGACTTGCAGAAAGTTCACTTTTAGCATTTTGCTCTCAATTTAGTTGAAAAAAAAGGGTTACTCCGTTATCAAAATAATCTGTACCTATTAGCCACTTTGTAATGACACTGCTTCAATGTAGTCTCCACCTCCGTCATCAATCCAGCTTTAATGTACATCTCTACCAAAATCTACCAGAAATAAACAACGTAAGGTAATTACAACAACAAACCCTTGATGATAATTATGTAGAACAGTAGATAGCAGTTTTTGTATATGAATAATTATACATTTGAATGCAAAAGACTGTATACTTAAGACCATACACTGATACTCCACATGGACAATATTATGAATAATTAAACAGATTTGATAATCAGATAATTGCAAAATTATACTTAAAAGGCCTTTTTATTGAACAAGGTTTCAGAAAATTTATACATGTTGGGATTTATAGCATGTATAGATACAAAAATGAATATGAAATTTCTCAATTATATGATTTGGTGATAAATTTCAAATAAATTACCATACACCCCTGAACCAAAGAGGCATTCTGTTTATTTAAAGAACTTGGATACAAGAAAGAAGTAATTAAAAGGTGGATATTTCCAGATGACCTTGTAGAATATTAACTTTCAATTAAAATTAATACCAACCTGCCAAAAATACATGGAGGAGTGTTCATCAAGTGTTTTAGCCACGCCCCCGGTATTGTCTTGTAGGACATTACTAAACACATTAAACAGTTGTTTCACTTCGACTTCTCCACCAAAATCTGTCATTAACTACAATAATTCAAGTAAAGTAGCTGTAAGAATTTTTTCTTATCTTAACATGATCATAAAGTATACCACTACTTAAGCACAAAGTACATAAAGTGCTTCATTAATAACCATCCAGGTAGCTGAATAGGTAAAGCATTGGACTGTGAATCAGGAGACCTAGGTTTGATTCCTGGACAGTGCAGGTCACTTTCAGTGTGATTGATCATGAAATCCTTTCTATGGTCATTACCACTGTACCTCTGCTCTGGCATGTACAAACGTTTTTTGCAAAAGTGAAAGTATCTAGTACTGGTTAACTGCTTGCTACGACAGCAAACCAGGAACAGTGCAGTGGTTCAACTGTCCTCTGGTAAATTCAAAGTGGCTTACTACTGAGATGCGAAGGGTAAACTACAATGGACCAACGCCCCCTCCCATGTTGCCTCTACAAAGTTAATAGAAGGAAAAGTATAATACCCAGTGCTTACCTCATCTAGACATTCCATCAACTCATTATGCATATTAGCATGTACTGTACATACTATCTGCTGCTTTGCACACCAAAACTTTAATGGTAGTGGGACATCTAAAATATACAGTGAAGTAATAAGTATTCTATATCAAAACACAAATGCTGTGCTTTTAAAAGCAGACAATCATGTCATGGTTAAAGAATAGACAAAATGTAATTGTTCAAGAGCAGAAAAACTGTTATACTTTACAAGCAGAAAAACGTATTGTTTCAAGAGCAGGAAAAAATGTAATGGATAAAGACCACGCAATTATTTAATGGTTCAAGAGCAAAAAAAATATGATGAATCTCCAGAATATGACAGGTAAGAAACCAGCTCTTAATGTAGAATGACCTATGAAAATTTTGAGATTTGAGACTGAACACAAAAAGAAAAGTTTCATAACAACGAGGTCAGTACATATATATATATAAAAACTGTATACTTTACCTTCTTTTTTGATATAGCACAGAATTGTGTATTCATGTTTGAACAGGGCAAGTCTTTTCTCCCAACATGATGTTAGTATAGCTCGAGAATGAACAGCAGACGCCAACGCTGCCCAGTTGTCTACATTCTCTAATAAATAGAAACAATATTGTAGGCTGTAAATTCACTTAATTTTGTGGGCATGAAATATTGAGGCTTTGTCACAAAAGAAATTTGTGGATAGTCTATTTGTGTAAAAAGTAAAATGCAAAAAATGTAATGCATATTATTATTAATATAACAGCAGACAAAAATGAAATTTTGTTGGATCTTAAATTTGTGCATACATGCATCTTGACCTGTTCATGAAGACTATGTAAAATTGTGTCCCATGAATAATAATGATTTTGCAGTATTTGCAACAAAACACATTCATACTATACATGTATTGGTAATAATAATGCAAATATATGTATATATTTATCACTCACTCTGTCATACATGTAGTGAGGTGTTGAGTTGGGGAATAGGATAAGTCACAAATTCACATGGAAACTTACCGGCTTTATTGCTGGAGGAAGACCGGATGTTTCCCTACATGCAATATTTCAGATTGTCAATAGTCCCTGGCAGTATAGGAAACCATGTCGCAGATGGGCAAGGTTTTCAAGAAGGCAAAAATCTATTTCTAAATTTTCTTAAATAACCATCATCATCTAATTCGAACTTAAATGAAACATTTCTGAATTTTAGATACAACATGTCATTATGACCATTAAAACAAGAAGACAGAACTTAAACAAACCTGGATTATAACGCACAGCTCTCTGTGCTGTAAGGAAAGCATCCGTAGAATTCTGTCCATTACCATGGCAACCTGCACTCAACTCACTAATTGTTAATAATATAAAGTCAGTCTGAAAAGAAAAGGAAGGAAAAACAAGGCATTTAGTTTCTATAACTTCATTAAGGGCAATGATTTTGTGAAAATCCATCATGGAGTTTCTTATTACACAACAGGTATATCCACGCTAGATTATGGGAAAACTCTACAGATCTTGAATGAAAAACCTAAATCAGAAGTTTTCTAATTTTATTTAACATAGGGTGAACGATTCAGTTATAATTATTGGCAGAAATGGTCAGCAACACAAAATTACAATCATGTAAATGCTCCCCTTTAAAACACACTAAACTACAGTAGATCTTCAATGCATCAAACTTCGATGAGTCATTTTTTCTCGATGAGTCAAAGTAAAATAAAAGTCCCAAATTTTCTAAGTTTACTTTTAATATAACACTATTGAGATTGTCCACTGAAAACTACACACCTGTTTTCCTGGGCTTTCTACAAGCAGAGAGTTTCTAGCGGCTTGTGCTGCACTTTTTCCTAACTTCGGGAAAAACTTCAGAAGTATTCCTGATAATAAACGCCATAGTTTTGGCTGGCAAGGATCTTTGTGTAGTAAATGTTGCAGCTTTCTTTTTACATCAATTAGATTACCCTGAAACAAAATTATACAGTAAGACTTTTATCACATGACTTATGATATAGAACCATTAATGATTTCATTTTTATTTCACACCTTATAAAATGTAAATAATGAACTTCCAGCATTTGCACCAAACAATGTTCAAAAATATATATCATTATTAGATCCAATCTTATCAATTTAGAATTGTTTTCATTTTCCAAATATTTCATTTAGCCTCATTTTCATTTTCCGAGTCAAAAATTCATATTTAACTTTATCTAGTCTTATTTCGTAGTCCAAAAATTCATATTGTACAATATCTTGCATTCTTATCATTTTCCAAGTCCAATTATAGTTTCATATCAAATCCATATTGTACTTGAAATTACTGTTTCTTTAATATCTTACAAAAACACTGTTGACTTTGAATGTTTTCTTCATTTTAATACAGTGTAACTTCTGAAAACCGAACACCCATGGGACTTGTCAAAAAGTTCGGATTTCAGAGGTTTCCGAAATTCAGAGGTTTATGATAATGTGGACAAGACTTGAAGTAGAAATGTTGTTAACTGCATAAACTTACATATTGTCCGATGCTAGTTAATTAATTATTACATCAAATTCAATACAAACCCTTTAGACGTTTGATGCATACATTGTCCCAATTAATTGTCATTTAATCCGCTAATAAACACTTCAAATTAACTGACCGTCGTAAATACTTTACTTAACCGCATCACTTCAAATATACCATTTCACAGTTTGTGATTTTAACGCGTGTCAAATTACACGATCACCGCTAATTGGTAAACAATCGATAGGGAGATTAAATCTTCCCGCAGGGTAAACATTTTCGATTTACAATGTATTTCACACATTTGGATATTTCCGGTTTTTGAAGGTAAAATTGCATTGATTTGACTCTAATTTTACGAAAATATCGTCCGGAATTCAGAATTTAGAAGTTCCGGAATTCAGAAGAATTATATTAATAGAAAATAGAAGGGAAAAAATCGGGACCGAAAGAATTGTTCGGTTTTTAGAAGTTTCCGGATTTCAGAAGTTCCGGAATTCGGAAGTTACACTGTATAGTCTTTTTGAGAACTAACAGGGTGTAATAAAGAGTTCATTATACATTGAAATTATAACATTACACTGTGCAGTATTATAATAAAACACATATCAACAAATTGTTACCTTGATCATGTCTACACCGATCGCCAGCAATGCTACATCATACAGATGACTAGGATTATCTCCCAGACTGGAGAGTTCATGAAGTGCGGCCTCAGCTAGGGTCAGGTCAGACTGTATCAGCCCCAGGGCACACAGGGCCTTTAAACCAGGAATACAAGGTTCAGACAGCTGTGAGCTAAAAATAGAATCATTTCAAATAATTATGATCAAATATGTGTCAACAAAGGTGAGCACAGGTCTTTTAAAAACTGTATGTATAGGGTTTTAATCAGCTGGTTCTTTTATTGGCCGCTACTTTTGACACTTCATGTCATACTGTGCTAAAAGAAAATTGTTGATACCAGAAAAACATTTGTTCTCAGTTCTGTATGACTAGTATTGAAACAATGTGCCAATTAATAAAATTTTTATTTTTTTGCATTATTGCCAGTGTCAGTTTGCAATTAGTATAAGCAAAACTTGTATGTAGGTTGTACGGAACCAAACATCATGTTGACACATGTGTACATTTGTATATAATGATCTTTATGTGACTGGTGAGCTACATAAAGATTATTTACAAAAATTAACCTAACAAATTTTCAATCCTTAACATTACTAGCAATATTAATTTCAAATGTCTTGAAGACAATCTTAAATCATTGCGAGCTTTTTGGTAACACTATATATGGCTCTGTTATCAGTGGCAGGTCAACAATTTCGTGTTAATTCTAGACATGAAATTGTTGACTTGCCACGACAACAGCCATATATGGTAGTCATAAAACCTTGCAATGAATTAAGAGTGGTCAAATGATCTAAAATTAATCTTTTATATTCTAATATTAGAGAAGTACATTGGAATAGATTTGTTTTAGCAAGTGATCTTAAATTAATCTTTTACATGAATAAGAATATAAAAACACATTACCTTTGGAATAGATTTGTTTTAGCGTTACCAAGGTCACCAAATTTGTATAACACCATGGCAAGGGCGGTAAGCACAGCTGACTTATCTCCGTCTGTCTGTGCCATCTCTGCTGCTTTAGTATACACTAGGAAAAAAAACAGTACTTATCATTATAATTGAGCCGCATCATGACAAAACCAACATAATGGGTTTGCGACCAGCATGGATCCAGACCAGCCTGCACAATCCGCGCAGTCTGATCAGGATCCATGCTGTTGGCTTACAAACCCAAAAACAAGTAGAGAAACTGATAGCGAACAGCATGGATCCTGATCAGACTGCGCGGATACGCAGGCTGGTCTGGATCCATGCTGGTCGCAAACCCATTACGTTGGTTTTGTCGTGATGCGGCTCATTATTACTATAGACACAAACTGTATTAAACTAGAACTATCACTAAATGTGATTAATACCCCCACAAGACTGCTTCGGAAATGAGGATGTTACTAGTAACAGAATACCTTGTAAAAGAATTGAAATATAGAGTTATGGTTGTGTGCAATTAAACTAGTTGTGGTTCTTGTATGTTGCATTTCCTTTCAATGTGGTTGGCCATTGATGAAGTTTTATTGAATTACTCTGTAATAAGTCCAGAAAGACAAGGAAAAGGAACAAAGGGTAATAACTCTATAAATACTGAAGATGGAGTTATAGTTCTTGTGCACTGCACTTCCTCTTATTGTGCTTGACCATTGTATGAAGTTGTTTTGAATTCCAACCAGTACCTTTTAACTTATGCTCCGGACAAGGAAAAGTATCAAAGGGCAGTAACTCTGTATTTTGTCAAAATGGAGTTATGGCTCTTGTGCACTGCACTTCCTTTTAATGTCCTTGACAACTGTATGAAGTTGTATTGAATTCCAAACAGTAGTTTTCAAGTTATGCTCCAGATAAGGAAAAGTAACAAAGGGCAATAACTCTGTAATTAGTCAAGATGGAGTTATGGTTCTTGTGCACTGCACTTCCTCTCAATGTGCTTGACCATTGTATGAAGTTATAATGAATTCCAACCATTAGTCTTCAAGTTATGGTCCGGACAAAAGAAAGCAATGGAAAAGTAACAAAGGGCAATAACTCTGTAATTACTTTAGATAGAGTTATGGTTCTTGTGCACTGCACTTCCCCTTATTGTGTTTGACAATTGTATGAAGTTGTTTTTAATTTTCAAGTTATGCCCCTGACAAGGAAAAGTAACAAAGGGCAATAACTCTGTAATTAGTCAAGATAGAGTTATGGTTCTTGTGCACTGCACTTCCTCTCAATGTGCTTGACCATTGTATGTAGTTATATTGAATTCCAACCATTAGTCTTCAAGTTATGCTCCAGACAAGGAAAATGCAACGGAGGTCTGGACCGACCGACCGACCCGACCACCGGGTGACTCCTATATACCCCCCAAACTTCGTTTTTGGGGGTATAAATACATAAACCTATTTCAAATGCATGATAAGTTTACTATAAAGATATGTATGAAGCTTAATCACAGACATATGTTTGGAAAAAATAAATGTTTTAAATAGTGAAATCTGCATGGAAATTTCAGTTATATACATGCACATGTATACTTTTTAACTCTTATTCCATGTATGGAGCCGAAATCATGGATTTATTAATAGAAAAGATGTCTATTAAATTCTCAGTATGAGACAACAACTTAATCATGGAATGCATTTAGGTTTGTTTTTTTTCCATTTAAAAAGGAAGCATGTTTCAATCCTTCAGAAGTCGGTATAAATATATTGATATAGTAGATACCTTGAAAACTCTCCAGTTCCAGATGACCAATTTTATACAATGCTAGTCCCATATGACACAAGTCTACCAGTGTACATACACCTGCTATCTTCTCATATACAGAGCAAGCTTGCTGATAGTCTCCTGATTTACTAAAATAAATCCTATTAATAAATACTTATTACTACTGTGAGTGATTAACAGCCATGTTGTAATTGGCCGAGTGGTTAACAGCAAAGTGTTTAATGGCCAAATGGTTAATGGCCGAGTGGTTTACATGTCGGACTACTTATCTCAATTCTCAATTGATCGCTATCCACATGAATGAAAACTTCCTCAGGGGCAAGCCATTGTTTCCTTTAGCAAGAAACTTTACACTCATTGCTCAGTACTGGTTGATTAAAAATTGAAGCAAGAGTGTGTCTATAGGATTATAGTTTTCTATACAATCATTGCCATCAGAAAGAAGATAGGCCAGCAGTTTATCTTTTTCGTTTAAACATATTTTATGGAATAATATAAAATGTACATAACATAGTACAAGAATCTCTCACTGCTCTAGAAATGACTTTTATGTTATTACTTGCACAAGCAAGCACCTGAGTAGAACCAACTACATTCTGTAAGCTAGCTTGATAGCTTCCTCACATGAAACAATCCAAATTCCCTGACAGGATTCAAACCCACAGCAATGAGGGGCAAATGGTTTAAAGCCAGCAACTTAGACCACTCAGCCAGAAGGGTCCAAAAATCAGCTAGGTTAAATAAATAGCAACACCTATGTAATATTTACTTATATCTGTAACCAATATGACTAATATGTGTTTGATAAAACCTTTTTCTAAACCCTTGAGGTATTAAAGCAATTAAAAGTATGTGGAAGTTTTCTTACATTAGTAGTCTCATTCAAATAAATTGTTAATCAGTTGAACTTGTTAAACTTATTTCAGAAGCTGCATGATTTAAAAGATGTATGTACTTACTATAAAAGTCTTGCATAGTTACACATAACCTCTGTCAGATAAGTTTTGTCATCTTGTTGCTCAATAAGTAAAACAGCTCTGAAATATACAGCCATTTTTAGATTAACATAATTCAAAAACTAATTTTATATAATAATAGCATTGGAGAATCAGAACATTTGTAAATTTGTTGTTTTGTTTTTGTTGGTTTTTTATTTGGTTGAAAGTTGAATCACACTAAATCTGTAATGGTGACATGGTGACTTTAAGCTTAAAATATGGTAGATGTCCTCGGGAGAATCTCTGTATAAATTTTGGCTGTAGCTGGAACCTGAGTAAAAGCAGCAGCTATCTGTATGCTAGCCCATTTACTTCCTGACATGAAAGAATCCAAAATCCCTGACAGAAACTGTACATAAGTGGTGATAGGACTTATGCAGTATCCACACAGGAAGGCCAAGATTATAAAACATTTTTGCTAAGCTCTGTCTCAAATCTCAGGACTTTCATTGGTCAAAATATGTTGTGTCAGCTACTGACCAATCAAATACATCCCTGAGATCAAAATTTGACCCGAGATAATTTCTTTATAATTAACCTCGAACCAAAGTGTTATGCAAAGGCTTTTTTAATATGAAGGTTGTATGAGTAACATATTTGTTTGTCATGTGTGTCTGTTAGCATGTGTATGTTATACATGTATGTGAAATATCGATTACAATACTAAATAATAGTAAATGGGTAATACAATTAATCATATCAAAAATCTAACACTTACCTTTATAGTATGAATTTTGTTTCAATTAATGTAAAGGGCCCAATTGTTATTGTATAAATTACTGGGCATGTGATCATTAATCAAATCTATTTAGTCTAATGTTTTACACTATGTTTTAAACGCCCATTAAAACCTTTCTTACAGTATCACTTGTTTTATGTCGTCATTAATTAAAAGGATTTATTGTTTTATGCTGGCTATGTTTTAAAGGCCCATTACTTACTGTTTAAACTGTTGTGCAGCAGTCCTGTATAACTTCTGTCTCTCCAGCAGTAAACCATACATGTTATATGCTACAGCATTTGTCTTTACACGATCTGATATACAAACATAATTCTTCATTAAACACCTTAATATTCTAGCTTAAAGAGATAAGGTCTTAAAATTTTAAGTTTACTTAGTGATATAAAACCCCTATATAGGTTCCCTGCAATAAAATCATTTCAGGCACATGCCAGTAATCAAATAAAACCTATAACTTGTGATAGCAAAACTTTTCACTTATAAAACATGAAGCAATTCATAGCTGAGTGGTTATCATTTCAGACTAGTACTAGTTTTGCTAGCTGCATGGGTATAAACCTCATTGGGGGCAAGTAGTTAATTCCATGTGCAAGAAACTTTTCACTTATTACTAAGCATTGGTTAGTTCCAGGAATGGACTTAAGAGTGCTTCAATAAACTTACAGCTTCCAATACAATTGAACTCAAACAACTCCGAAAAAACTAAGCAAATCACTGTTCCTTGTCAGATTTAAAACTCAGGACAGTTACCTTAGAACAATAACAATTTAACTCCTATTAAATTTAGAAGGACTTAACCTTACTTAACTAAGGTGACGAGTAGGAGATATCAAGAAAAATAAATTTTCGCTTTGAAAATCATACCTTAAATTGATTTATGACACAGCAATGTTATAATCAAAGGATAATAGGTAAAAACATGGACAAAAAGATAGTAACCTTTCTTTCAAATTTGTTGAAAAATTAACTGTACATATATACCCTACCTGTATATCTGGCTAAAGCATCTGAAGCAGACGGCACAGCTCCCATCTGTTCTATAGCATATGTATACATGTACGTGTCACGTTTATCTACATTCTGTAACATTATTGTACACACCCAGTGACCATATCCTAAAGCACCCTCCAGCTGCAAGATAGTTAAAATGATATCAGTGGTTGTTGTGGATGTTTAAAAAACGTTCAGGATTAGAAAGGTTTCCGGATAAGAAGGTTTTTTTACATGTTTGTAGATGTGAAGAACAGAACAGTTTAAGGAAATTAAGGAAATAGTTTGATATTGTAATTCCTGAAACTTTCTATACATTTTCCAAAAGCCAGACAAAACCATTGCATAAATTCAGGTATGCCCCCTTAGCTCATTAGAAAAAGCATGAGACTACTTATCAAGGGGTCCCTGGTTTTATCCCTCAGACTAGGCAAAATTTCTTTGTGACAATTGACCTCAGATATTGAGCTATATAGTCATTTGTCTATTGTTGATGTATCAGAAATTATCTGGTTTTAATTGTCGGTCATTTGCAAAGAAATTGGTAATTACTGGTTAATTTTCTAGGAAAGCCAGTTGGGTGTATCAACCGCCAAGATATGACCAAAAGATGTGTAAAAATCTTTTAAACCCCGAAAAACAAACAAATATAAATTCATGCAGATCAGAACTTCAATAACTTTTGCATGATGTCATAAGCTTACATGATTTCCTAGTTCAGTTGTATGTCTGTATAAGTCCATGGCGTCTTCGTGACCTACGACCTCTGCTATAATAGCCTGACCTATCCAACACGAGACATAGGACGGTTCCAAGCTCTGTGCTATCTTAAATGCCTCATGGGCTAGCTGGAATAAATTTTAAATTCAATTTTTATCAACAACTGCAATGACCATAGTTATATATACATGTATTATCCATAAATTGGTTTTATTAAATAAAACCTATGACTGTGTGATGCCAAAGCCTGGGTGAGTACAATAGCTATCCATTTTCCTTGAACAGTTATAATAATATAAATGTCAAGATTATCAAGAAAATTACATTATAAATGTACAGTATTATAAAGATTAAATAATGTCATGACACTTTAATTTTCTATAAACTGTAACCTCAAGTTTAGTCCACCTGCACGACAAAAAACTGTGTTATAATTGGTGAGAAAAAAAAACAACCAACACATACCTTGACATTATCCTTGCTCAGGTAAAGAGCTGCCAAATTAGTCCAAGCTATCACATTCTGTAATAAAACAAACATATTCTTCAATTTTTATTAAGCAAATATGAATTAACGAGTAATACACGTCAAAACCAGAGCAAGTTTACAATATTTTATTTGTGTCTACTAGTTTCGGTCTATACGACCTTCATCAATTTTTATTAAGATTAAATCACGTTAAATTGTACATAAATGAATCCTTTCTTTACCTATGTTTTTGTCAGAGAGTCTAAAAAATTTATTATTTCTAAGATGAAGGTAGATATAAAATCTAGACATGTTCATTATTTTAGGGGCAAACGGGCACCTAAGTAGAACTACATACATTTTGTAAGCTAGCTGAATAGCTTTCTCACACGAAAAAATCCGAAGATGCTTGCATGGCTCCAAACTTCAGCTAGAGAGGGTAAAATATTTAACATAGCCAAACATCAACATTCAGTAAACAGGTTAGAGAAAAACTTACATTATGTTCAACTTGAATTGACTTGATAAAACAATGCTGTGCTAATTCTGGCTTGTTGTAAACTAAAAGAAACACAAGAATACAGGTCAATGCTTTATAACATAATTCTGGTAATAACATAAAATTTAGTGTATAAAAGTTTTAGATAGTTGAAGTTCTGCTCTGGACAAAAATTTAAATATGAAAAATTATCAACTTATGCAAAACTGGCTTTCCTGGGTAACTAACCAGTAATTACCAATTTCACAAGTGACTAATACCACATGATTTTCAAATCAGCATGACAAACAAATGACAATTATGCTCAATGTCCCAGATCAATTTTCACAATATTTTTTTGTTCCGCCCAAAGATGAAACAGGAAACCCCTGGATTACTATACCTATGCTCTCTCTAACGAGTTAACCAGGCAAACTTTTGGAGTTATGCTGCAAGTAAAACAACAACCATACCTTTTAAGCAAGCTACATATCCTAAAGCATTCCAGTGTTTATGATTGGAAGGTTCCAGTTGAATAGCTTTCTTTAAAGCTTGCACAGACTTCTCAGCCAATGATCTGGCAGATTCCCCATCACTACACTGTGATTGGTGGATGAAGTTGACCCCAAGGTCATGCCAGAGAGAAGAGCATTCTGGGAGAACTTTGAGAGCTCTTATGTAGCATCTGGAAAATCAAAGAAATTAAAATACTATTATTACTAATATAAATCATGAGTAAAATTTAAATCATATTCATATAAAGTTATGCTTTATAACAAATTTTTGAAAATACCCAAACAATGATCAGATATTGAACACTTAGACTACTGAATTTTTGTAAAGGATTCAATAAGCTTTGATTTTCGAACAGTTCAAAGTTTAGGGGTTTTAATATCAAACTACAAAATGTGAGTTGCCAACAGAATAGTGCCTTATAAAGGCTAATGGTTTTCCGTTCTTGCAGGTTAAAGGTTGAAAACATATACAAAGTTTCTATAACTCTGTGGCTCTTAAAAAAAGACTGGCAGTACTTCATATTAAAACTTTTATTAAAACAATACATGTATTTCATAAGCAATCACATCAATGAGAAGTCGCAGAATACAGAATATTGTGAATAAGGGATATAACATGATAAGAACCTTTCATACAACATGGATATGCTGTATGAAAAAGGTAAAAAACTAGATAGGCAAATTTCAAATATAAAATAAAACCTTTAGTTCATACATGTACCTAGAGCCTAACTCAAGTGTTTCATGTTTAGTAAGTACTCCTTTATCTGGTTTCTCAAACCTGAAAACAAAAATAATATATTACAAGAATAAAAGAATGATATATTTCTATTGATTTTAGTAATATTTGAAATACTAACAGGAAACAGGCCAATTCACTTTACTGTTAGGTATTTACTAATCTAAAGCTAACATAATTATGGAAAAGTTTTTGATTCTACACATTGCACTTACTTGTGCCTGAAATAAGGATCCATGGGGCGCGGGCGTTCTTACTTCACCAATTAACCTGGAAAATTGTCTTATGATCTTTACAGATCTCAGTCAGGGTGGCATATTCATATAAATTAACCAACTCATACAAGAGCATGTTTTCCTTAGTGATGGTTTTCATTCATAATAAATTAACATATAAGTTAAACTTTAACCAAAAGCAAATCTTATGTATACTGTGAAAGTATTACCTGAAGTTTTGTGCAGGTAAAACATGAAAAATGGTACAACATCAAATTTTAACTTTCCCCCCAAAAATTACATAAAATTGGGGTATTGTAGCTTTCCCCAAATAGGGTTTTTAATTATCAATATTTTAAAAATTTCCCCTTGTATAACAACTTATTTATTGGGAAATTTTTTAGCAAACTTTTTATTTTAAAATTTTTATCATCAAAATATTTTTTCCTCTTTTCTTTTTTTTTGAAAAATTTCTATAAATTAAATAAAATTTTTTTTTTTCTTAATTTTTTTATTATTTCATACATCCCAACATTTTTTTTTGGGGGAGATATTTTACTTACTTTAAACATTATATAATTTTTAAGCTCAAATTTGAAGATTTGGGATGTAGCAAAAATTTAATTTCCCAGGGGCTGCTTTCCTTCCCCAAAACTACCCCCGTACTATATCCCTATAAGGAACAATGGGTTTTTGACCACAGTTGGCTTGAACCCCGAATCCCCGGTTTTGAGGCAAACACTTTTTAACCCCTAAGCTGCCTTTTTTCCCCTTTAATCATCCATTTTTCTTTTTTGGAATTTAAAAAAAATTTTTATCTTTAAAAGGCCTTTTAACATTCCCATTTTATGGATCCTAAAATTTCAAAAACTTCTGATTTATTCAAGAACATAACAAGGGAAAAAAATAGATCAAAACTGTTTTAAATTTTTTTACCAAAGTTAAAGGAAAAAAACGCCAAATATGCCTTTGGGGTAATTTTTAACTCAACACCTTTTTTTTTCCCTAGGCCCCCAGTTTGTGTTTTAAAATCATATGAAAACAAAATGAAATCAAAAAATAACATCAAAAAATTTTAAAAAAAAGTTACAAAATTTAAACCCAAAATGTAAATTCATTAAACCCGCTGAAAGTAACACAGCCCAAAACTTTTTCAAATAATCTCTGGGACGGGCCATGGGAAGGGGCTTCCCATAATAAAGACTTTGGGAACTAATACATTAAACTTTTTCCAACAAACCCCAAAAAATTTTTAAAAAATTTTTTTTTTAATTCCCCTTAAACCGCTTGAATGAAGTAAAAGGATTTGCCCGCTATGAATTTGGAACATCCCCTTCAAAGTTTTAGTATTTCAATGTTTAGAATACAAATTTTGGGGGGAGCTATCCCAAAAAAATTTTTAAAAACTTGGGCCCCGAACTGGGGGACTGAGCTATCATCAAATACATATTACTGGGCCCTAAACTCATAATGTTGCATCTTTTTTGTTCCCTAATAAAGTATCATTTGTTAAAGGGGGAAAATCACCCCTTAATGGGTTCCAAACTTTACCATTTGCAATGGGTCTAACTTAAATAAGACTTTTGGAAAATCATAAGTTGTTCTGAAAACCGATATTTGGACTTTGTTTGAAAAATTCAATCACTTGCAAAATTACTTTTAAAGTCCCATTGGAATTCAGTTTTTTCATACTTTTTTATTCATTATACAAATTGTTAAAAATTAAATTAAAACTACAATATAATCCAGTATTCTTTTCTCCATATAAACTTTATTGCTAGAGTATGTCCGGTATAATGATGAATAATTGTTTGTTTGTTTGTTTCATTTTAACACACGTGTGGTGGGTATTTTGGTCTTTTTTCCCAACAGTATTCGTTATATAGGAGGGGTAGTTTCCTAACCATCATTCCTGGGAGATTACACCAGTACTAGACTACCTTCCCCCGCGCTTACCTACCAAAGCATCTCCCGGGGATCAAACCCACGCCAGAGAGGTAAACTGGATTAGAAGTTCATCGACTCTAACCCCTCGACCACAGAGGCAGTTAATGATGAAATAAAAGAGATCTCTCTGGAGTATAATTGTCATGAAAAACAGCTTACTGAGCTTAAGCTGAGGGTAAACAATAAGTTTTCTTTGATTTAACAAAATGAACAATAACAATCAGCTAAAGCTTATATTTAAAAAAACATTTTTAAACGACATCTTTTTAATTTTTTTTTTTGAAAAAAACATAAAAACAAGAGATTGTGGAGCTTGGTAATTATATCTTACCTTTTCAAAATCATGGAACATAGTTAGGTGACTTCTCTAATATTAATCTTGTATTCCTCTATAGCTTCTGTATATGTACCCAATGTCTGCTTTATAGACGCCATTCTACAATATTCAACATTCTCTATATTTATAATAGATAATATGCCATGGTTTACTATAATACAGAAAACAAGTTTACAACTTGTAAATTTTTAAATCCCACCTTTAAAAAAGAAATTCATGTAAATGGGAAACCCCCACATTTAAAATGTTTTTGTTTTTTTTTACCAAAAAAGGGAAATTTAAAACCTTCTTTAACAAAATCATTTATAAAAAGCAGTGAAGGTAAAGTAATGTCATAACCAAAAAATATATATTCAACTGGAAATGTGACCAGAATACCCCAACATTCTATTGTTGTCAGTCGAAGGAGATAATGTAACAGCATGATGGACAAACAAGGGCAAATTATATATGCACCTTCCCAAATGGAGAAAAACAAATAAATGACAAACAAATTTTTTATTATTTTCATAATTTCAATGTTTTTGACAAACATGATATTCCTTATGTAGTCTCAAATGGGGATGAATAAACATATAATTATGTACATAATTATAAGTTTACTAAAGCAATAGAAAAAGCAATGGTTTTAGTCACACATGATATTGTTACTTTAAATACTTTTATGTCACAAAAGTTTTAAAATAAAATAGAGTTTTCAATAAATAATCAACAGTATCATGGACTTATTAAAACAGCATCTTCCTGCCAATATACAAACATGCCCAATCTAATGTAAAGCATTACTTACTGAAATAAACAGTACATGGAATCAGGACATAACTCTGATGCTCTGGTGAAAGCTTTCAACGATGCTGTTAAACTTCCTCTAGCTAGGTAAGCTTCCCCGAGACATTCCCATACATGACTGCAAATTTAAAAGTAAACAAGATATGTTTGTAAAACATGTATGCCCCCTATCGGCAGCCAATTAGTCATGTGATCAGGTTATTATGCATGACTTCTGACCCTGTGAACAAACAATAAATAAGGGTTATCTAGTATCTACTGGTCATGACTAGTCACAAAGTAATAATTATTGTGACCCCATAGGTTGTGTGCAGAAATTTAAGTTATTACAAATCTTACCAAATAATATATGCATAAATTTTATGAATCATGTAGGCCTCATTAATGACAGCCAAGTTGTTATATTACATAAGACCTTCAAATGTGTATACCAAAAGCATTTTTAGTTTAATATAACAATATCAACCAAGGCAACTTGAGTTGTTGAGTTATTGGTCAGAAACCGTCATTATGAAAAAGTTGAATATGACATTGACCCCTTGACCCCAAAATCAATAGGGGTCATCTACTGGTCATGACCAATCATCATACCAAGTTTGAAGTTCCTAGGCCTAAGCGTTCTTTAGTTATTGATCGGAAACCGTTTTTACCTACAAGGTCTATGTGACCTTGACCTTTGACCCCAAAATCAATAGGGGTCATCTGCTGGTCATGACCAATCATCATACCAAGTGTGAAGTTCCTAGGCCTAAGCGTTCTTTAGTTATTGATCGGAAACCGTTTTTACCTACAAGGTCAATGTGACCTTGACCTTTGACCCAAAATCAATAGGGGTCATCTGCTGGACATGACCAATCATCATACCAAGTTTGAAATTCCTAGGCCTAAGCTTTCTTTAGTTATTGATCGGAAACAGTTTTTACTTACAATGTCAATGTGACCTTGACCTTTGACCCCTTGATTTCAAAATCAATAGGGGTCATCTACTGGTCATGACCAATCACCATACCAAGTTTGAAGTTCCTAGGCCTAAGGGTTCTTTTGTTATCACTCGGAAACCATTTTTACCTACAAGGTCAATGTGACCTTGACCTTTGACCCAAAATCAATAGGGGTCATCTGCTGGACATGACCAATCATCATACCAAGTTTGAAATTCCTAGGCCTAAGCTTTCTTTAGTTATTGATCGGAAACAGTTTTTACTTACAATGTCAATGTGACCTTGACCTTTGACCCCTTGATTTCAAAAATCAATAGGGGTCATCTACTGGTCATGACCAATCATCATACCAAGTGTGAAGTTCCTAGCCTAAGCGTTCCTTTAGTTATTGATCGAAACCGTTTTTTACCTACAAGGTCAATGTGACCTTGACCTTTGACCCAAAATCAATAGGGGTCATACTGCTGGACATGACCAATCATCATACCAAGTTTGAAAATTCCTAGGCCTAAGCTTCTTTAGTTATTGATGCGGAAACAGTTTTTACTTACAATGTCAATGTGACCTTGACCTTTGACCCCTTGATTTCAAAATCAATAAGGGGTCATCTACTGGTCATGACCAATCACCATACCAAGTTTGAAGTTCCTAGGCCTAAGGGTTCTTTTGTTATCACTCGGGAAACCATTTGGTCTGCGGACCGACGGATGAAAAATGCAAAGCAATATACCCCTTTTTTTTGAAGGGGGGGCATTTGAAGGGGGGCATAAAACCCCATTTTTAATTTTCAAACTAATCATTTTATAAATTTTAATTTCAATACAGCTAACCAAAAACCAATGAAGTTAAAACAAATTCAGTAAAAAAGCTTTTACAAAAATGGGTTTTAAACGCAAATGCATAAATATTTTTAAAAAGAAGTGTCCATCTTTTTGTCTGGACCCAAAAATTAATCTTTTGGGGGGGAAATTTCAAAAAAATATACCCATTTAAAAGGAACATGAGACATAAATGCATGGAAAACTACATATCAAGAAAATTTTCAAATTTTAAAACACAGCTCTAAAATGAAATAATGCAGGGTTAGTAAAGCAGATTCATTCTTTAAAGGCCAATTATGCCTCAGATAGGCAGGCTTTTATTTTCATTTCTCTTATTTTTGGTATACTTTTATAGTTCCAAAAAGTTACTCATTACATAAACCTTTTTTTCATCTGCTGCTTTTTGGCAGTAGATACATTTATAGTGATTGAGTATTTTTTATATTGGAGGCCAAATTACTATTTTGTTTTCATTTTGCTACTTTTATGACACATTTCACATTTATTGCTACTTCAGGTTACAAGCATCTAACTTGCTCTAAAATCTTTAATTAAATGTTATAAAATTCATATTTGCCCTTTCTAAAAAGTAAAAATTCATTCGTTTCTTAGGCATAATGTGCCTTTAAGAATAAAGAATACTCTGTAAAAGAGGCACTTACTTGTCTTTAGGGTCAGCTCTCAATGCAGACTGGAAAGATGCAATAGCTATAGAGGGATCCTCATGTTTCACTTGGTACAAACCTAGACGTAACCACGCCCATTTAGCACTGAAAAACATTAAAACCTAGATGTAACCACGCCCATTTAGCACTGAAAAACATTAAAACATAGACGTAACCACGCCCATTTAGCACTGAAAAACATTAAAACCTAGACATAACCACGCCCATTTAGCACTAAACTAGAAATGTGTCCATAGGACACGGATGCCCCCACACGCCACTGTTCTGTCAATCTTATGACTCTAGGTCAAATATTTTTTGGACTACATGTGCCACAATGAAAACTAAAATCAACAAAGGGCCATAATTCTGTTAAATTGGTCGCAGCAAAAAAATTCTTTCCATTTACTACCATCTACACATTAAGGTTGTTTAAATCCCTGGGAAAGTTTTAAGCAAAATCTGCCATCCGGTTTAAGAGGATGTTGCGTTCACAAAATTTCTACATAGATATAATGAAAAAATAAAAAAAAGGCCATTATTCTGTTTAAATTTGGTTGCAGCAACAATTCCTTTCTTTACTACCATCTACACATTAAGGTTGTTCATTCCCTGGAAGTTTAAGCAAAATCTGCCATCCGGTTTTAAGAGGAGTTTGCAATTCACAAAATTTCTACATAGTTTAATAGTGAAAAAATCAAACAAAGGGCCATAATTCTTAAAAAATTTGGTCGCAGCGAAAATTCCCCTTCTTTACTACCATCACAACCTGAAGGTTGTTCCATGCCTGTAAGTTTAACAAAAATCTTGGCATCCGGTTTTTAAAGGAGTTGCGTTTCACAAAATTTTCTACATAGTAATATTAGTGAAAAAATCAACAAAGGGCCATAATTCTGTTAAATTTTGGTCGCAGCAAAAAAATTCCTTCTTTACTACCATCTACACATTAAGGTTTTTCATCCCTGTAAGTTTAAGCAAAATCTGCCATCAGGTTTAAGAGGAGTTGCGTTCACAAAAATTTTACATAGTATCTAGTGAAAAGATACAATAAAGGGCCATAATTCTGTTAAAATTTTGGTCGCAGCGAAAATTCCTTCCTTTACTACCATCTACACATTAAGGGGTGTTCATCCCTGTAAGTTTAAGCAAAATCTGCCATCCGGTTAAAGAGGAGTTGCGTTCACAAGATTTCGGGACGTACGGACGGACGGACTGACGGACGGACGGACTGACACACTGACGGACGGACGGACAAGTGCAACGCTATATGCTCCCACATTGTGGGGGCATAAAAACATTAAAACCTAGACGTAACCACACCCATTTAGCACTGAAAAACATTAAAACCTAGACGTAACCACGCCCATTTAGCACTGAAAAACATTAAGACCTAGATGTAACCACGCCAATTAGGAATGAAAAACATTAAAACCTAGACTTAATAATGACCATTTAGCACTTTGTATCAGTGCTTATAAAAATTCACATTCAATGTAGTCAATAGTAATACTATAATCTGTAGCTATGAGAGTATGGGGCATTTCGGTTCATAACTTACCAGCCAGCACTTGCTCTTGTTGTTACATTTGTCAGAATTGTATGTGCTAGCTCCTACAATATAGAACACAATTTATAATATTAACATGTACAGTTCCTGTCGCAGTAAATATTGTCACCATATACAAAAAGATTAAATTTTCTTTTTAATTATTTAGATGTAAAGTTACTGCAAATGTTTAATCTTCACTTTTAAGGTTTGTTTGGTTTTATGGCGCACCAACAAAATTTAGGTCATATGGCACCAAAACAGAAAAGATGATTTTGGCTAATCTCAGGTGTTACAGACCAGGGGTTAAAACCACCTCACCTGCTGGAGCTTAAAAGTTACATAAACTCCACTTATTTGAGCCCACCTCTTACATTCATGCAGGAGTAAACAGTGTTTGGCTTTAAGAAATGTTTATCATTGTCTGAAAAATACTTATTAATATAGTTTTTTCTTATTTAATTAATTCATTAGTTAGACTTTAAATAACAATGTTTAAGTCATATGGACTGCCTACTTTAGGGGGGAAAAAAACCTAAAAAGTGCCCTTTAAAAGCAATTTTTTCAAATTTTCAAAAAAGGGCAAAATTTAGGAGAACAACCCTATCAGCTAAACTGGATACCTTTCCCTTTTACAAAAGAAAAATTTTGTTCCCAAACAGAAATTTATACACACAAATCCCTGGGGGGACAAGGAGGTTTGAAGCCACCAAAATTAACCACTTGGCAACCGGCGAACGAGGTCTATGCTCATAACCTTTTTTATGTGGTTTTTTAATCAGCAGGTGGTCTTTAGACACAAGTTTTGTCTGTATTTTGTAATGATCTGATACAAGTCAGAATACCTCTTCTCCCAGTTGGTTCAGAATATCACACAGTGCCTTCCCCCGCCTCGTCATTGTTAGGGTCAAGGTCAAATGCTTTCTGGGTAACATTTACGTGACCTTGAACTGTCATCTGCTTCCTGGCCCTGTAGTAATGACCTAGATACAGGAATGGTCTCACAGTTTTGTAAGGATCCTTGTTTTAGCGGCCTATAAAAATAAATAAACAAACACAATTTTTCACAAAAAATTTTTCTTTGAAAAAATAATTGAACTCTAAGAGGTTTTTGCATTCTTAGGAATCACTTTTCGACAGGAAGAAAAAAATTTGTACATACGTGTATATTGAGGTTGTTATCAACTTAAATTAGCCTGTAGGAACAGATTTATTTATTCTTTTTTGAATCTTAAGTAAATCAATACAGTTGACATAATATTAAAGAGAAAAGGTCATGACCGCATTAACCTTGAACTGGGAGGCAAATTGTCAGTATTAATACTAGGCTACGGCTTTTATTATGACAGTCTATTTAAAACTAAGAAAGACACTGGTTTCATTACATAAAGTTATACGAAAGTCTGACAAGTTTTACAAACAAGAGCTGTCACAGGAGACAGCGAAGCTCGACTAATAAAATACTGGACGCAGTAAGGAGAACAAAACTATGAAAGAAAAATAAATTATGTATAATTATGTATATATATAGTATAAAAACATTTGTTAACATAAATTCCAAAATCAAGGGGAATCATTCTAGAAATAGTCACACTAGAGTTATGAACCTTGTCACACAACATGTGTGTAATGATAAGAAATATATAATTGAAGTTTGAAGTAGATACCTTAAAAAGTAAAGTAGTTATAATATTTCTTAAAGAAAATCCTAAGTTCAAAGAGAGATAAATCTGTAAATATTGCTTCAAGAGTTATGAACATTGTCACATAAAATGTAATTGATGATAAGGAATAAGTATTTGAAGTTTGAGGTAGATACCTTTAAATCTAAAAAAAGTTATAGTAAAAAATAATATTTTTTAAGGAAAATTCTAAGTTCAAAGGAAGATAAATCTAAAAATATTGGTGCTAGAGTTATGAACCTTGTCACATAAGATGGGAATGATGATAAGGTACATATATTGGAAGTATGAGGTTGATCCCCTAACAAATAAAGAAGTAACAGTAAAAAATAGTATTTTTTTAGGAAAATTCTAAGTATGAGGTTGATCCCTTAAGAAATGACAAAGCTATAGTGAAAAATATTTTACTGCACCAAAACTTTAATCTGAAATCTGGAGATGGACGCCGACGCCGGGGTGAGTAGGACAGCTCTCCATATACATTGTATAGTCGAGCTAAAAAGAAATACACCTAACCTTTAATAATATGGTGAAACATTCTTGTTTTCTGTCTTCTGTTTTCCACAAACATTTAGCAAGATTCACCTGGTGACTGACAGTTTCTGGTTCACTCTTTAAAGCTTTCTCAAACCTGAAATAACATCATAAAATATATAAACTGTTAAACTTACTTAGTCTTCTTAACTGAATCAAAGCAAATAATATATAGAATGTGAAATCAACTTTACTGACATTAGACATTAAATGTGGCTGAAGTAATATTTCAAATTTATCTAATGTAATAAAAATTTTCAAAAGAAATGAACTGTTGCTTGGCATAAACACCCTGATCTGAAATATACTGTATTACTGGACTTTATTGTGATGTAGTAACAAACACCGGCCTTAATAGCTGAGAGGAAAAGGTGAGTGTTTGCCCACTACCTCCTTGGGTTAGAATCCTGCATGGAATGCCGTCTTTCCGAAAGACTGCCAGACCATCTACCAAGACTGGTAAAATTTAGAAGGTCTGATAAATATATCTGTAAAAGTTCAGCATATCATTGTTTATGGAATTCTTAAAAAGTCTGACACAGGTGTATCTACTGTATGCATATAATTTCCAAATCTGTGCCAATACATACGGAATTTATTAAACCAGTTGAATCAAATTATATTAATGCGATCCTCTGATTAGTATAATATTGTTTTATTCAACAAGTTCATTAAGTTTAGTAATGAATTTACACGAATATAATATTCTATTTATCATATACACAAAATAAAAACTGTTTAAAATGAAAAAAGTAATAGTTTTCATTGACCCGCCTATAGTATAACACTAAAATTTAGCGCGTCATAACACTATGATTATATAATGCAAATGATGTCATGTCAAAATCTACGCACAGCCATGCAATACCATTTTTACAGAGTCGCAAATGCGGCACGGGTATGTGATAAATGATAATAACAATAAAAGACAGCAAACCTGTGTGCGGCTTCGGAGAATCTGTGTTCATGTAATGCGATCAGACCTTCCAGGACAACTCTCTTAACACTCTCCCCAACTAAACATGTCTGTAAGTTCATTTACTTATATCATTCTATATTTTATGTTTGTACAAATATATACCAGTACTTATGTACTTTATATTTGTATTTGTAATTATTTGTATTAATATCTCAACTAAAATTTTGAATGTAAAAGATTATTTGAAAACAGGAGCAAAACATTTCTTAAAATTTCTTACAAGTGAAATAACAGGGAAAACAAGAGCTGTCGGTAGGACAGCAACGCTCGACTATTCTTAGTGCTTGATAGTAAGAAAAAATGCTTGATACAATTACCTCCTCCTGTTTACAGGTTGGGGTAATGATGGTGAACAAGTGTGCAAAGTTTTAAAGCCATATGTCAATGGACTTTGAAAATATTTGAACTATTACAAAAACTTTAACGTAAATTCTAAGTCGAAAAAGGAGCATAATTCTGTCCAAATGCTTGATACAGTTACCTCCTCCTGTTTACAGGTTGGGGTCATGATGGTGAACAAGTGTTCAAAGTTTCAAAGCCATATGTCAATGGACTTTGAAAATATTTGAGGTATTACAAACACTGTAAAGTAAATTCTAAGTCTAAAAAAAAGGGCATAATTCTGTTAAAATGCTTGATAGACTTACCTCCTATCTGTCTACAGGTTGGGGTCATGATGGTGAACAAGTGTGCAAAGTTTCAAAGCCATATGTCAATGGACTTTGAAAATATTTGAGGTATTACAAAAACTTTAGCGTAAATTCTAAGTCGAAAAAGGGGCATAATTCTGTCAAAATGCTTGATACAGTTACCTCCTCCTGTCTACAGGTTGGGGTCATGATGGTGAACAAGTGTGCAAAGTTTCAAAGCCATATGTCAATGGACTTTGAAAATATTTGAACTATTACAAAAACTTTAACGTAAATTCTAAGTCGAAAAAGGGGCATAATTCTGTCAAAATGCTTGATACAGTTACCTCCTCCTGTCTTCAGGTTGGGGTCATGATGGTGAACAAGTGTGCCAAGTTTCAAAGCCATATGTCAATGGACTTTGAAAATATTTGAACTATTACAAAAACTTTAACATAAGTGGTTACGCCGACGCGGACACCAACGCCGACGCTCGGGTGACTACAATAGCTCTACTTATTCTTATCGAATAGTCGAGCTAAAAACAACAGAAATATAAAATTTTACATACAAAATAAATAGAACTTGTAAATCAACATCTATCAAACAAGAACTTTTATTCTTACAAACTTAAGTTAAATAATTCTGCTTCAATAATAGTGTTTGGGTTTTTAATATTCACCAAGAAAAACCAGGGCTCGAAGTAAAAAAGAAATTTTCTAAGCTCAAAGTCAGATATCAGGTATTTGACTGGTAAGAAACTGCCAAAGAATGTTCACAGACTCATGAAAATCCTGAGATTTGATAAATGTTTTATAACTTTGAGCCCAGTTTCTGGTAAATTAAGGGTAAAGTCCCATACTTGCAAACCAGCACAAAATAACTTGCATAACTACATCAGTAGACATGTGTAAACTTTTCATCCTAATCTAGTTGGACCCAAATGCATCTTAGATCTACAGCCAGGTAAGCTATAAAGGTGTGACATTAAAATCAAACAAAAATCAGACCAAAAAAAAAACAACATCAACATACCTTTGCTATGTCTATCTCTCCTTGTTTTAAGTGTATATGTCCCTTCAAAAGAGATACAGTGTCTGCACTTATATCAAGTTCCTGTAATAAATACAAGAAGATCTGTTTACTTTAGGATTGTTTCTATCTTTATCAGTTGGATAAAAATCGGCTCTCAACATGGTAATTTTGTTGTATTAATCTATTATTAATGCTTCTGCTGCAGTCTTCATCAGAATAATGACCTTCAAAATCAACATTAAAATAACTCGAATATATCTCTTACCCTCTTTTTTTTAAACAATATTTAAGGCCTATATGTTTATTTATCCATTCTTTTACATAATACATTTGTTTTTTTAATTATCAACATACACTATATACAATACATCAGATAATATACATGACTTTACATATACATACAATGTAGTTATATAATTGATGAGCATTTACAGAAGTCAAATAAAAGGTTGTTTTTTTTTTTGTTTTTTTTTTTAAATAAAGTAAAGAAATGCTTTTTTATGTAATTATTGATAGTAGATGAGATCAAACCTATCTGGGACAGGACACTCATAAGCATTCATAGCTTTCTGCCCAATCGCAAATGTATTGTATAAATATTGTTCATTATAATGTAAATACATTATATCGAATAAAATATGTTTAAACCAAATCTATCATAATTTCCAAAATTTCTATATTACAAATATCTTACATTCTCAAGTGTATCCATGGCAACAGATAGTGACATTTTGTCCCCAACAGCAACAAGGGAAGTCACTCTCAACAGGTGAAAGCTTTTCGATATTTCCGTACTAGGCCTGGTTAAAATGCGATCTTTCCTCTGCAGTAATTTAAGCCCTATAAATCAAAATAGCAATCATTCAAATAATTTGAAATAACAACTTTAACTAGTTAATCTTAAAAGATGTATTTTAACAATGACATTACTGAATTTCCACATCTTTAAAAACAAGAGCCCGGTTTGAGCCGGGTGATGCTCCCCGAATAGGTTTTGGACACAGGAAAGTACACCTCTTGTAGTTTCAGAGTTATGTCCCTGGAAAAAATTCAAAGTGCAATAATTCCAAAATAATGCAAGACAGAGTTACTGTTCTTTGCACTGCACTTCTAATCAATGTGATCTATCAACCTTCAAAGTTTCTTGATGATATCTCTTATGATTTCCGAGTTATGTCCCGGACAATTCAAAAAGTAAAAATAAACAAAGGGCAATAACTCCAGAATTAGGCAAGGTAGAGTTATTATTCTTGTGCACTGCACATCTACCCATTGAGATATATCTACCTACAAAGTTTCAATTTGATATCTCTTATAGTTTTACAGCTATGTCCTGGACAAGATTTTTCTAAAAGAGGAGATAATTAAAAAATGAGGCTTAACAGAGTTATGGTTCTTTTGCACTGCACCTCTACTCAATGAGATCTATCTACCTACAATGTTTCATCTTGATATCTCTAATAGTTTTAGAGTTATGTTCCGGACAAAGTTCAAAGTGTTAAAATTAACAAAGCAATAACTCCAAAATTAAGACAAAAAGAGTTATTGTTCTTATGCACTGCACATCTACCCATTGAGATCTATTCACCTACAAAGTTTCATGTTGATATCTGTAATAGTTTGAGAGTTATGCCCCGGACAAGATTTTTCTATAATGGGAGATAATTCAAAAACCGGGCAAAATTGAGTTATGGTTCTTTGACACTGCACTCCCCCTCAATGCCCTCTACCACTGTATGAAGTTTCAACAAATTATCTCCAAGGGTTTTCAAGTTATGCTCCGGACAAGACAATGGACAGACAGACGGACAGACCGACAGACAGATGGACGGACAAGGCGCCGACTATATGCTCCCCCAAAATTTTTCGGGGAGCATAAAAATCATTTTTCAAAGACATTGGAACTTTCATTTTACTTCGACACATGCACACACCAGAGTAGAACTACCAACCTTCCATAAGCTAGCTGAATCGCTTTCTGACATGTTAAAAAATAGCCTTGCAATAGCAGGGTTTTAATCCATAATAGTGATGGTCAAACCTTTTTATTTAAATATTTATTTTATTTACACAGACGTCAATTTCTTAAGATTCAATTAATCATGCATACTTTTTATGAGTGCTAAGATATGTTTTCATATCTTTCATACCTATAGGTTATCTCATAGGTTTTGTGATTAAATTGGATTAAAATTCTGATAAAATATATAATTTGCAGAAGTGTATACACTGTATGAACAAAACATGAATATAAAAAGAAATAACCTAACCATGTTCACAATAGATCAAAACTGCATCATATCTATGTAACTGCTGGCAGGTCACTGCTTGGAAATATGGTAAACAAACCATCGTACAACTGTCTGGAACTGAAATAAAACAGCATTAGTTATCCCTATTCTGTGAATTATTGTGTAGTAACTGAACTGTCTATTAAATTTTTTAACCATCACAAGGTGATTTTCTAGATTTACTAATGAATTATTTCATGCATGAGGTCACATCTGAGTAAAATTACTGATCTTCTCACTGGATAACCTTCACACATAACTAAAGCCAAAAGTCCCTAGTAGTATTCAAACCAAAAGTGATCAGGGGCAAGTAGTGGGACAGCAACCTTAACCACTTGGCCAAAGAGATTTTTTTCACTGTATTTTACAGCCGAATAAAGGCTATTTCCCCTAGCCTAAAATAGATATATTTCGCCTAAAAATGCTAATAGTTTCCCCTAGAAGCCTCGTGCTCATCCTTACCAGAATCATGACTTAACAGCAGCTGACTTTATCAGCTAGAAAGTTATCCCTATAGATAGCTCTCCTATGAACCATGTCTGTTAAATTCAATTGAATTTTTTCTTCTTCATAAAATGTGTGGGTAAATTCCATTTTCAGTTGTTGGAATTTGATTTCAGGTTTCCCCCTTTTCTGATTTATCGCGCTATATTTTCCCCTTCAGAAAGCAGGTTGTTTTGAAAATTGGAAAAAAAGCACTGCGGCCAAGTGATACATCTAAAATATATGCTCAATAGTGACTAATAATAACAACACATAGTCTAAAAAGCTTCAGTTACAACTAAGTTCAAACAAATATGTTAAGACAAAACTAAAATTATATAAAAATAAATCTGAAGCAATTATCACATTTTTACTTACTTGGAATAAAAAAAGACATTATTATATAATCTGGCTAAACCAATTACCTGAAATAATTCAAAATTTGAAATTTTTTACCTTGTTTAAATATACTTCTAGCACTATTGTATTCCTTCCTACAAAGAGCTACAAAACCTTGTGCAATCAGAGATATTTCTGTGCCACTGTCTCCTGTCTTACTCTGGTATAACTTTAATTTCTCCTCAACTTCCTCACATGTACACAACTTCTCCTCACCTACACAAGTTATAATAAAACAATATCAAGATATGTTAAGGTAGAAATGGCTCACCCCTGAAATCTGAAGGGTAAACTACAAACACCCAACCCCTAAGGCAGATGAGTGCTATGTCACAAAACAAGAAATTTAACAAGAATTTATCTCCCTTTGAAAAAACTTCAGTTGCTTTAAATTCTAAACAAATCACAATAATGTAAAACAATTCAAATCTTTAAATCTTGTAAAGTACTTATGCAAACATAACAAAATTTCTTCAGTATTTTTTTTCTCTATAAGCAGGATTGAATTGATAGTGATTAATGGCTTTATAATTTCAGCATGACATTTGCATTGTTTCAATTTTTTTTACCAAAGAAGGAAAAAATAGTTTATCTAGCACAATAAACTGCTTAGCACAATAAACTGCTTATAAAGGAAAATAATCAGTTACTCCACTAGAGCACAAGCTAATATTACGTGAGTTATTTTTGAAAAACTCCAAAAATGAGAATTATTTTCATGGGAAAATGAGAACAAAACCTACCTATATGTGAATCCAGCAAGATAATGACAGAATATCCCAAAACAGATGATGAGTCTGGGAACTTCTTGTACAGCACTGAGCATATTTTGTTCATTTCTGTAGGGTTTTTCTGGAATGAAAAAACAAGAAAATTGAAAATGTAGATTTAATTCAGGTACATTTTGAACAGATTATAATAATAACCTCCCCTGACAAGAAAGACACAGATATAATCAATTTTCCAAACACAGTGGTTTATGACTTTCAGAAAAAGAAGAAGAAAAAAGAACACTTTCAAATAGTAGCCTGTGTTTTTTCTTTGGTTGGCTTTACAGATGGACAAAGACCTCAGGTGCCCCTCTGTGCATGATATGAAGCATGAACGGGCCTGAGTAGAACCACTGATATTACCATAAGATAGCTGGATAACTTTTTCACATGAAATAATCTGAAGTCCCTAATATGAAACCAACACCGGTGAAGGGCAAGTGGTTTCAAGTAAAGAACCATAACCAATTTGCCATGTACAAAAATAAATTATTATGAAACACTATATAATGGTATATCTGGGAGTTTTTTTTAAATAACAAAAAATGCTCCGCAGACAATTTGAGTCTAGTGCCAACTCAATATTTGGTTAAGAAAGGCTCACCTTGACAACTAGAGAGAGATATAATGAAACTAGAACTGCCACTATCATGGCTTGAATACCCCCGCATACCACTTTGTCAGAATCAACAGTGGCCATTTAGAGCTCAAGAACAACCTCTTGCCAAATCTGAGGTTACTAAGACAGTGCATTGCTAAGTTATGTATTCTACATGCTTCAAATGTGAAAATGTCAAAATCAATACATTGCGGACAGGACATTCTTTAGCAATTGAGAAGAAAAGCTTTTTTTTTGTCAAGGTCCCTGTGACCTTGACCTTTGACCCAGTGACCTCAAAATCAATAGGGGTCACCTTATAGTCATGATCAACATGCATACCAAATATGAAGACTGTGGGTCAAAGGTATCTTAAGTTAATGGGTAGACAAACTTTTTGAAGTCAAAGTCCCTATGACCTTGACCTTTGATCCAGTGACCTCAAAATCAAAAGGGGTCATCTACTAATCATGATCAACATCCAAGCCAAATATGAAGACTGTGGGTCAAAGGAATCTAAAGTTATTGGGCAGACAAAGTTTTTGAAGTCTAAGTCCCTGTGACCTTGACCTTTGACCTGGTGACCTCAAAATCAATAGGGGTCATCTACTAATCATGACTAACCTCCATGCCAAATATGACGACTGTAGGTCAAAGGAATCTTAAGTTATTGGGCGGACAAGCTTTTTGAAGTCAAGGCCCCTGTGACCTTGACCTTTGACCTGGTGACCTCAAAATCAATAGGGGTCATCTACTAATCATGACTAACCTCCATGCCAAATATGAAGACTGTAGGTCAAAGGAATCTTAAGTTATTGGGCGGACAAGCTTTTTGAAGTCAAGGCCCCTGTGACCTTGACCTTTGACCTAGTGACCTCAAAATCAATAGGGGTCATCTACTAATCATGACTAACCTCCATGCCAAATATGAAGACAAAGGGTCAAAGGAATCTTAAGTTATTGGGCGGACAAGCTTTTTGAAGTCAAGGCCCCTGTAACCTTGACCTTTGACCTAGTGACCTCAAAATCAATAGGGGTCACCTACTAATCATGACTAACCTCCATGCCAAATATGAAGACAAAGGGTCAAAGAAATCTTAAGTTATTGGGCGGACAAGCTTTTTGAAGTCAAGGCCCCTGTGACCTTAACCTTTGACCTAGTGACCTCAAAATCAATAGGGGTCATCTTCTAATCATGACTAACCTCCATGCCAAATATGAAGACTGTAGGTCAAAGGAATCTTAAGTTATTGGGCGGACAAGCTTTTTGAAGTCAAGGCCCCTGTGACCTTGACCTTTGACCTAGTGACCTCAAAATCAATAGGGGTCATCTTCTAATCATGACTAACCTCCATGCCAAATATGAAGACTGTAGGTCAAAGGAATCTTAAGTTATTGGGCGGACAAGCTTTTTAAAGTCAAGGCCCCTGTGACCTTGACCTTTGACCTAGTGACCTCAAAATCAATAGGGGTCATCTACTAATCATGACTAACCTCCATGCCAAATATGAAGACTGTAGGTCAAAGGAATCTTAAGTTATTGGGCGGACAAGCTTTTTGAAGTCAAGGCCCCTGTGACCTTGACCTTTGACCTAGTGACCTCAAAATCAATAGGGGTCATCTACTAATCATGACTAACCTCCATGCCAAATATGAAGACTGTAGGTCAAAGGAATCTTAAGTTATTGGGCGGACAAGCTTTTTGAAGTCAAGGCCCCTGTGACCTTGACCTTTGACCTAGTGACCTCAAAATCAATAGGGGTCATCTACTAATCATGACTAACCTCCATGCCAAATATGAAGACTGTAGGTCAAAGGAATCTTAAGTTATTGGGCGGACAAGCTTTTTGAAGTCAAGGCCCCTGTGACCTTGACCTTTGACCTAGTGACCTCAAAATCAATAGGGGTCATCTACTAATCATGACTAACCTCCATGCCAAATATGAAGACTGTAGGTCAAAGGAATCTTAAGTTATTGGGCGGACAAGCTTTTTGAAGTCAAGGCCCCTGTGACCTTGACCTTTGACCTAGTGACCTCAAAATCAATAGGGGTCATCTACTAATCATGACTAACCTCCATGCCAAATATGAAGACTAAGGGTCAAAGGAATCTTAAGTTTTTGGGCGGACAAGAAAAAACCGACGGCCGGACGGACGGCCGGACGGACGGACAAGCTGATTCCAGTATACCCCCCTTACAACTTTGTTGTGCGGGGGTATAATTATCTCCTCTAAACTATCTTCATACTTCTCTGTTGCATCTAGTACTGCCTTGGCTATTTCTTGTAACTGAAAAATAGTTGAATCACATTAATTACTACATGTAATGATATAGCAGTATGTATGTGGGAAAAAAAGCTACAATGAGTTTAAAGCTACATGCCTCCAGATGAGTCAATATTTTTCTATTTTGTGATCATGATTTCTGCAAGCGTCTAGACGTATTGCTCGTATTGTACCTTCAGACAATAAGATTTTTAATTTTTTACTTTAATATGACATAGTGACTGAAAATCAATGATCCCCAGGGGCGGGGCCAAATTTGACCCCAGGGCTTTAATTTGAATAATCTTGCTAGAGGTTCACTACACAATGTTTAATGCAAAATGTCTAACCTGTAGCCTTCGTCAATTAGAGAAGATGATTTTTTAAAGTTTCTACTATATACATATAAGGAAAACCTATGACCCCCGGGGTGGGGCTGATTTTTACACTAGAGGCAAAATTTGAACAACTTTGGTAGAGTACCTATAGATATTAACACATACCAAATATAAAACCTCTAAGCCTAGTACCTTCAGACAAGAAGGTATTTTAGTTTTTACTATATGTACATATAGTGAAAATAAATGACCCCCGGGGCGGGCCCAATTTGGACCCCAGGGCTATAATTTGAACAATCTTGGTAGAGGTCTACCAGACAATGCCCTATGCAAAATATCTAAGCTCTAGGCCTTTTGGGTCTTCAAAGAAGTTTTTTTTTTTATTCTTATAATTCCTTTTGGTTGCCATGGCAACCAGATTTCTACATGGAATGAAATTCTTTGAACAACTTTGGAAGCACTTTGACCAAGGATCAATCCTGCCAAGTTTGGTTGAAATTGGACTTTTTCACAAGAAGATTTTTTTTAAGTTAAGTTCACTATATAATCTATAGAACACACACACAAACAAACACACACACAAAAACACACACACACAGGTGAATCGCTATATGCCACCGCATCGCAGATGCTGCGATGGCATAAAAAACCTTTCGCTTCATTCAGATTAAAGTTTTGTTAATACATTTCTACACTATTTCAAATCCAATGATGCAAAATTTAGAAAACAAATCTTTCATTAAAATACCCCCAACATTTTGACAGACCTGCTCGTTCTTGTCTTCTGCATTGGTCAACTTCAGTATACGGATGAAGACAACTTGCAGCTCTGTTTTCTTTTGTAAATCTGGCTCTTCTTTTATTGTATCTCTGTATATTCCAACAACCTAAAATAACAAAATACAAGTTTTTCAAGATACAGTATAACCTTTGCAGAGCAACACCCTTTGGGTGGTAAAAAGTTTTGATCGTTGCTGAGAGGTGTGGCTCTAGAGAGAAGAGTTTCTCTAAATAAGTTAAATATATAGTGGAATATAACTTTGGGTAATGAGTAAAACTCTGTTGTTGTTGTTTGTTGTTGTTGTTGTAAGGAGGTAATTGCTCATTATTCAAAGATGAAACATTTGAGTCACAACCATGTTTTTTTTTCTTTAAACCAGTACTTTTCAGTTACATTAAGAAGAATTTAGAGTCATTAAAATAAGCTACAAACCTCCTTCACAAGTGAGCTCAAATATATTTATATGTTTAAATCAATTCCCTTCTTGTAATACTTACCTCTTTTTAGCAAATTACTTTTTGTGATACTTAACCAGGAATCAAGCTTGGGACTTAAGGAATAATGTTCTGCAGCCCTAATGACTGACCTACCCTGCCACCTGCTACCCTGCCACTTTTACACATTTTCTCCCCATTTTCAAATGTCACAGAATGACAAAAATGTATAGGCTGACCGGGACTCAAACCCAGGACCATTGCAATTCTGCTCCTCAGCTCTAACGACTGAACTTCTCAACCTCTGACACATTTTATCTTCAACTAGAGACCAGTTTCTATTATATTACAAAATAATAATTAGATACCTTTTCAAGCTTGGTACTGTTGGTGTTGCTATCCACTAACTTTCCAAGTTTCAGTACAGTCTCAACTCTCTTGTCCCTATCACTGAAAAATTATACAAAACAGTTTATAAAATAATATTTCTAAAATAAAATAGCAGCATATATTTCTCTTTAAAGCTCAAATGATCTTTTTTCTCAGCAAGTTTATTCATATCTGTACCATTTTATGCAATAATATTGGGGTTTTGACTAAGAAATAAAGCTGGACATTTGTCCTTTTTTTGCCTAATCATGAACATTTATGCTTTTTTTATCAACAAGAGGGCCATGATGGCCCTGAAATCGCTCACCTGTATAAAGGACCCCCCGGGGCAGGGCCAATTTTAACCCAGGGGCTTTTATTTGAAGTAACTTGGAAGACACCCATTTGAAGTTGTTTCATGATAAATATCTAAGCTCTAGCTGTAAGAAGGTTTTTTAGTTTTAACTATACACATATAGGGAAAAACAGTGACCCCCCTCTGGGCGGGGCCAATTTTGTCCCCACAGCTTTTATTTGAACAAACTTAGTAGTCACTCACTAGAAGATAGTTCATGCTTAATATCTAAACTCTAGCTCTTTAGGTTTTTTAAAAGAAGATTTTTTTAAGTTTTTACTACATATACATAAAAGGAAAATCAATGATCCTGGACAGGGTCAATTTTAAACCCAGGGCCCTTATTTGAACAAAAATCGTAGACACCCATAAGGAGATGTTTCATGCTAAATATCTTAGCTCTAGCTCTTAAGTGTTTTTTTAAAGAAGATTTTTTAAGTTTTTACTATAAACATAAAGGAAAAAAAACATTTATTATGACCCCTGGGACGGGGCCAATTTTGACCCCAGGGCTTTTATTTGAACCAACCTGGTAGACACCCACTAGAAAATGTTTCATGCTTAATATCTAAGCTCTAGCTATTTTGGCTTTTTAAAAGAAGATTGGCCAATTTTAACCCAAGGGCCCTTATTTGAACAAAAATGGTAGACACCCATTAAGATTTTTCATGCTATATATCTTAGCTCAAGCTCTTAGGTTTTTTAAAAAAGATTTATTAAGTTTTTACTTTATACATAAAGGAAAAAACAATGATCGCCTTGGGTGGGGTCAATTTTGACCCTAGGGCTTTTATTTGAACAAACTTGGTAGACACCCACTAGAAGATGTTTCATGCTTAATATCCAAGCTTTAACTATTTGAGCTTTTTGAAAGAAAATTTTTGAAGCTTTTACAATATACAATTAGGAAAATCAATGACCCCCTGGGTTGGGGTGGGCATTTATTTGAACAAACTTGGTAGACACTGACTAGATGATGTTTTATGCCAAATATCTAAGCTCTAGCTCTTTAGGGTTTCTAAAAGAAGATAAAAATGTACTTTAAGTTTTTTCTTTTGGTTGCCATGGCAACCAGAGTTATTCTTGGAATTAAATTCTTTGAACAATTTTTAAAGTTGACTACCAAAGGAACATTCCTGTGAAGTTTAGATGAAATTGGCTAAGCAGTTTATGAGGAGATGTCGTTTACAGTAAAAGTTTACGGACGCAGGATGGACGCTGGATGAAAAGCGATCACAAAAGCTCACCATGTTGATGGTGGACGCACTGACAGACGATGGAGCGCGCCCACAAAAGCTTACTTTGAGCAATTTGTGTATAAATATTAAGTATAGGATATCGACCGAGTACGAGGTCTTTCTGTTTAGGAAAGACCTGGTCACGAATTTCATGTGACACCGAGAGCGCGTAGCGCTCGAGGTGTTTCATGAAATTCGTGACCAGGTCATTCCTAAACAGAAAGATCGATGAACGTGGCCAATATCCAACTAACACACCTTCAAACTATTGAGCAAGGGCTGATCCGAGCATTTGATATAATGCACAAAGATTATCTTTAACACAGCGCATAAACAGGTAAATAGCTTTTATCAACGTTCTGCTTTTATATAGTATATATTTTGCATTTAACTTTGTTTTGTTTTTTAAATAATAATAAAAAGGCTAAATGTGTAATTTGTCAATAATAAAGTGAATGGGTCTGTAATTGAATTTATGTAAAAGAATGAATAATTGTGTTGATAGTATTTCGTATCAGTCATTTCAAATTCTAGAACATTTGCTCCCCCCGAACAGTTGCCCTCTCGGACGTATGCCCCCCCTTTTTTTGCTTGTAACTTGTCAGAGGTCATCTCGTGTATATATTTTATGTATTTTATTTTTTTATTTATAGATGCTAATTTTTAAGTTTTCAGACATTTGCGCGAGATTTTTGGTTTATTGAAGCAAAATGGAATTTCGACAATAGGCGATGAATTTTAATTTTTGTAACAAACAATTCAACAATTAAATTTTTTAACATTTTTTAAAACATGGGGGTGATGGCAAATGTCCAACCCTTCCAAGGATATGGGGGGGGGGGGTGGGCAATGTCCGCCACTGCAAAAAGGGAGCAAACTCCGAGGGTGCAACTGTCTGAGGGGCAAATGTCCGATACCCAGCACACCATGAAAGACTTACATATGTATAGTGTTGCATGACAAGTGTAAGATACATGATCCGAAATTATATTTTTATATAGCAGATTATAAAGTGTTCTAGAATAAAAAATAATGAAAATAAATTTTTAAACTAAATCACTTATAACTTTATATTAACATTTCTTTTTCAACATTTTCTTTTCGTTTTTGTCGATATTTTAATAACTAATGGGAGATGTGTGTCCATTGTAGACAATCCACTTTGAGTACTTGTATCTGCATGTCACTATAAGCAAGGTTTGGATTATATCTTTAACATTCTTTGAACCTAAGCCCTGGATTCGAAGGTTTTCAGGGAAATCAGTTTTTGATTTTTCGCGGGTTGAATAGATAGGTAGGATAAAGCCAAACTAAAAGAGGGGGTGGGGACGGGTTAACGGGGATTTAACAATCTGATTGATCTTGAGGGTGGGAATGTAAACCAGGGACTTTGCTATGAACTGTCGGTAGCTGCGGTTTCCTAGGCAAAGCGTATATCAAATGGACGTAATTTGAATCACAAATGAGACGGACATATTTATGTATATATTTTTTCGATATGAAAGTTTGGTACAATTTTTATTTACTATGATTTTTTTGTGGATTAGATGATTTAGAATCGTGATAAGTATGCGGTCGGTGATAACTGTTATAGTTTCATAGAAATGAACTTAAAGCACCCATTTTTGTTATATTGTGAAATTAATGACAGAAGAAGCGCTTAGATTACTATTATTTTGAAAAAATGACGCGATTAGAAAAATGTTAAATGTTTTCCTAACTTTGATATGCTATCCATTTATTTCATTCAAAGATTTAGGCTAATATAGAAATGTCGGAATAATTATAAACATTATCTTGTTTAAAAGAATGTATCCAGATTTTGTCAGACAGGAATATTATGACAATCATTTATTTACATTTTATTTTCAATTTTTGATTGCATTTCATGTTTTCTTTGTCTACGCATAGGCAGGTCTATTTTTTCACGTGTTTTTCATGACCGGGTCTGTCTGACTAGAACAGACCTGTGCACGTGCAAAAGATAGACCTCATAACGGACTTTCTTTTGTTAAAACAGGTCTATCCGAAAAATATAGACCTGTCACAAACAATAGAGGAGGTGTGTAATATCAGGTATGAAATACTGTTTAAAGCATCATGTGTACAGTTATAAGTTTAATCTTAATAAAATACTGTTTACACTGGATTTATATTAGCCATGATAACCTGCTGAACTTCCACTGTATTTAAATACTATTTGACTGATTTAAAAAGGGTCCTTTTAATATCATTTTTATAAATCTGGACTTTATATTCTGAAAAGTTATAATACTGACGCTAAAATTCTCATTTTAAATTTTCTCATACACTAAGACACATTATTAACTATATAAACACCTGATATCTCAATGGTTTAAACTCAGTGTTTAAAGTTAAAAATAGAAAGGATCAAATTCCACATATCCAATATCAACAGCAAAACATTTCAGTTTAAAACTGTGAAACAATTTGAAGAATACTTTTTTTCAAGGTACTTTATTTCTATTTAATTTCTAAATGTCTACAAAAAATGACTTGTCTTCTAAAGGCAACAGCATTTTATCTTATTAATATGCTTTTTTAAACAAGAGCGATCAGTGATCACCTGTGTCGCCTCATGATGGCCAATTTCATGTTGGGACAAGTTTTGTGACAGACGGACAGACAGACGGACAGTGCACAACTAGACTTGGTACTGATCATTCCTGTAAAGTTTGGATAAAATTGCACCAGTAGTTTATGAGGAGTAGTCCGGACAAGCTTTTGTGTATCTGGCAACACACAGAAAAAACACCTTTTTATCAAAGGGCCATAACTTGGCCAAAAATCATTCAACCGGAAAACCCGTGCAATATGCGCAAGGACTTGAGCTACAGATCAATCTTGTAAAGTTTCATTGAAATTGCATTAGTGGTATAAGAGAAGTAGTCCGGACAAACTTTAAAAATAACAAGAGGGCCATGATAGCCCTGAGGTTGCTCACCTGTATATAGGCCCCCGGAGCGGGGCCAGTTTAAACCCCAGGGCTTTTATTTGAACAAACATGGAAGACACCCATTAGAAGATGTTTCATGATGTTAAGTTTTTACTACACACATAATTATATTATAATGAAAAACAATGACCTCTGCCCCCCCCCCCCCTTCGCAGGGCCAATTTTAACCCAAGGGCTTTTATTTGAACAAACTTGGTAGACACCAACAAAAAGATGTTTCCTGCTTAACAATCTAACCTCTAGCTCATTGGGTTTTTTACAAGAAGATTTTTTAAGTTTTTACTATACACATATAGTTAAAAACAATGACACCTCTGGGGCGGGGCCAGTTTTAACCCAAGGACTTTTATTTGAACAAACTTTGTAGTTATTTGGGTTTTTTCAAAGAAGATTTTTTAAGTTTTTGCTATACACATATAAGGAAAATCAATGACCCCCTGGGCGGGGCAAATTTTGACCCCAGGGCTTTTATTTGAACAAACTTTGTAGACACCCATTAGAACATGTTTCATGCTAAATATCTTAGCTCTAGCTCTTTGGGTTCTTTAAAAGAAGATTTTTCAAGTTTTTACTATATGCATATAGGGAAAATCAATGATCCCCTGGGGCGGGGCCAATTTTGACCCCAGGGCTTTTATTTGAACAAACTTGGTTGACACTTATTAGAAGATGTTTCATGCTAAATATCTTAGCTCTAGCTCTATGGGTTCTTTAAAAGAAGATTTTTTAAGTTTTTACTATATGCATATAGGGAAAATTAATGACCCCCTGGGGCGGGGCCAATTTTGACCCCAGGGCTTTTATCTGAACAAACTTGGTAAACACTTATTAGAAGATGTTTCATGCTAAAAATCTTAGCACTAGCTCTATGGGTTCTTTAAAAGAAGATTTTTTAAAGTTTTTACTATATGCATATAGGGAAAATCAATGACCCCCTGGGGCGGGGCCATTTTTGACCCCAGGGCTTTTATTTGAACAAACTTGGTAGACACTCACTAGAAGATGTTTCATGCCAAATATCTAAGCTCTCGCTCTTTGGGTTTTTTAAAAGAAGATATTTAAAGTTTTTTCTTTCGGTTGCCATTGAAACCAGAGTTCTGCATGGAATTAAATTCTTTGAACAATTTTTAAAGGTGACCACCAAAGAAACATTCCTGTGAAGTTTGGATGAAATTGGCTTAGTGGTTTATGAGGAGATGTCATTTAAAGTAAAAGTTTACGGATGGACGGACGACGGACGGACGCCGGCCGGACGCCGGACGAAAAGTGATCACAAAAGCTAACCCTGTCACTTTGTGACAGGTGAGCTAAAACTTATTAAAGTGCCATAACTCTAACAAAAATCATTGAACCGGAAAATGCTGACAATATGCACAACTGGACTTGGTACTGATCATTCCTGTAAAGTTTGGCTGAATTTGCACCAGTAGTTTATGAGGAGTAGTCCGTACAAGCTTTTGTGTACCTGGCAACACACAGAAAAAAAACACCTTTTTATCAAAGGGCCATAACTCGGCCAAAAATCATTCAACCGGAAAACCCGTGCAATATGTGCAAGGAATTGAACTACAGATTATTCCTGTAAAGTTTCATTGAAATTGCATTAGTGGTATAAGAGAAGTAGTCCGGACAAACTTTAAAAATAATAAGAACTGTCGGAGGACAGTAACGCTCGACTATTCGAAAATTTGTCACAAGGTTGTTTCATTGAGTATAATAATGCTTACCTATATGAATACATAAAATTGTCTGAAAAGGTAAAATCCTTCAAGTTTCAATACATTCCCTTCAGTGGTTATGGAGATACAAGCTTACATACAAAAACTTAACCAAGAATTTATGAATCGAAAAAGGGGCATTATTATACGAAAAAGTAAATCAGAGTTATTGGACTTGTGCCAATCATCTTAGATAATCACAGAGACCAAGTGTGTGAAGTATCAATCCATTCTCTTCAGTGGTTATGGAGATACCAGCTTACATACAAAAACTTAACCAAGAATTTCTAAGTCGAAAAAGGGGCATAATTATGTAAAAAAGCAAATCAGAGTTATTGGACTTGTGCCAATCATCTTATATAATCACAGAGACCAAGTGTGTGAAGTTTCAATCCATTCCCTTCAGTAGTTATGGAGATACCAGCTTACATACAAAAACTTAACCAAGAATTTCTAAGTCGAAAAAGGGGCATAATTATGTAAAAAAGCAAATCAGAGTTATGGGACTTGTGCCAATCATCTTAGATAATCACAGAGAACAAGTGTGTGAAGTTTCAATCCATTCCCTTCAGTAGTAATGGAGATACCAGCTTACATATAAAAACTTAACCAAGAATTTCTAAGTCGAAAAAGGGGCATAATTATGTAAAAAAGCAAATCAGAGTTATGGGACTTGTGCCAATCATCTTAGATAATCACAGAGAACATGTGTGTGAAGTTTCAATCCATTCCCTTCAGTAGTTATGGAGATACAAGCTTACATACAAAAACTTAACCAAGAATTTCTAAGTCGAAAAAGGGGCATAATTATGCAAAAAAGCAAATCTGAGTTATGGGACTTGTGCCAATCATCTTAGATAATCACAGAGAACAAGTGTGTGAAGTTTCAATCCATTCCCTTCAGTAGTTATGGAGATACCAGCTTACATACAAAAACTAAACCACAGGGACGCCGACGCCGACAAATGGGTGACTGCATTAGCTCGATTATTCTGCGAATAGTCGAGCTAAAAATTGTTAAAGGGTCATAACTCTGACAAAAATCATGAGGCAAAGTTTATTAGGCAAATCAGCTCATAAACACCACCTGGACCAACGTCCATAAGAAAAATAAGCTCATAAAAACAAAAAAATAGCTCTTAATTTGAATTTTATGAGTTTTTGTTCTTTATTTAACTACGGAATGAAGCTCATAATAATCAAATGTTTGCTCGGACAGACAGACGGACGACGGAGAAGTGATCCTTATATGTCGCCACTACTCCGTAGAGGCGACACAAAAAGGAAGTTAAATATTTGTCAGAATAATCATACAGTTTCACTGTAGATATTTTTTTTTACAAAGAGTTATATTTTCCTACAGCTATACACTGAAGTGTATCATATTTCAATGTAAACCTGTTAAACTCTCTATACATGTTTGTCAAAATCAGTATAACATAAAATATGCGAGTTTTGAGAGAGATTTTACATTCGTTTAGGAGAGACACACCGATAGTGATAGTGCGTAGCATTTATTTTTTTTGTTGATAATGTAGCGTTTATTTTTTTTTGTTGATAAGAGAATTTGTTTTGAAGGGAGTTTTGTTGATTTGTTGAATGTTATTGTGGTGATCTTAATTGATTAGGGTTTATTGGTTGTAATAAGTTGTTTTGGTTGTTAAGTTATATCTGTTTGGTAAGATATATTTTTCGTTGAAATTGGTTGATTTTGTCTTGTCAAGATTATATTAGTTGATGCTTTGTTTTGAGAATATATGTAAATATTGGGTGCTTTAGCTTTAGTTTGCTTTTCTGGTGCTGATTAGATTTTGTGAAGTGAATATTGTAGGATGAATGTTTGTGGTTTATAGTGTATCTTATTGGAGTTGTAAAAAAAATAGTCATTTCTGTGTTCTTCATTTTGTGGTGATTTTATTGTTTTGTTTGATCATAAGTTGTTTAGAGCTTGAGCTTGCCAGGTGTCTAGTATTGTTTTGTATACACGTATATATGTGAAAAAATATTTCGTATATGTGGTTGATAAATGATGTGTTTTTGTTTTGGGTGTCAATAATGATCATAATTCTTTTTTTTGGGTGTAAATAAAATTCTTTGTTTTGGGTGTAAATAATAATCAGAGTTTGTTGTTTAAATATATATATGGATTTGAGATAGAAAAAGATAAAATACCTACAAAAAATAGTGTTAACTAAACAACTATATTTATTGCTAAATCTTTCCTTTGATTAAATAACATCAAGGCAGTCATTCTCCTGACAATATTATATCTTGATACACAAAAATTTGATAAAACTTCTGGACTTTTTTTTTTATGCCTTTAAATTTTTTTTATTTTTTATATTTGTAACAAGACTTGTCTGTGGACGGTTAGAGCAATCTACTTTACTCAGTGCTATATAATTCAAAAAAATCAACAGAAATATAAAGGGTATAATTCTGCAAATGTGATAAGCAGACTTACTTGCCCTTGATTATAGTCTACTAGAAAATTTCAAGTTTAAAGTGAATCCATTGTTTTGGTTATAAAATAACTTTAGGATTATCTGCCGTTTTGAAAAGTAATATTGACTTTTCATGACAATAAACAAGTACACCAAGTTTGAAGTGAATAAAAAGCTATTATATTTTTTGATAAAAAGGTTAACCAACGTCCACATCAATGTTAATGCTTACAAGAGGGTCATGACAATAACTCCGCCTTTTTTCTTTATAATGAGGAGCTAAAAATTGTTTCACGTTATAACATTGCATATTTTGTTATTCTGTTATTCTCTTTTGCATGGGTGGATACTTTAAAGTGAAATAAAGTATTATTCATTCTTCATAATTATCTAAATATAAAAATTATGTTTATTTACTCACTGAAGGGCATTTAAAAAAACATGCAATACATAGAAATGTTTTTCTAAAACATTTTAGGTAAAACATGGCAGTCTCAGGAAAGAGAGCATCAAAACAATTTTCTTCATCAACAACATCCATGGCACAAGATGAAGATCTTCAAATTTACTGTCAACCTTGTGACGAGGAAGGAACTAGACTCCCTGCCCATGGTTACTGCACTGACTGCAAGGAACACCTTTGCAAGACATGCTTTACAGCCCATAGGATAAACAAGTTTACCAAAAAGCATACACTTCTGGATGCAACAAGTATGCCTAAAGTTTTGCAGCAACCCTCAACATCCCTTCACACAGGTCTGTCGGATGACTGGACCTTGCCATGTGGTAAACATCCAAAAGAAATTATCAAGTTCTACTGCTGTGATCATACAGAATTTCTCTGTAGTGTTTGTGTTACCCTTGAACATCAAGCTTCATCCTGCAAAGTCAACTATATACCAGACATTTCTGGTGATATCATAGACAGCAAAGAATATCAAGTTATCTTGAATGCATTAAATACCACTTGTGACAAATTTCAACAGATATTAAAAGATGTCAAGAATATGACACACAAATCAAACAGCTCTCTCAAAGATGTCATAGGAGACATTATAAAGTTTCGGCAAGAAATCAACCAAAGACTAGATGAACTTGAGAGACAGGCTGAAGATGCAGCTAAAGTCATAGAACAAGAAAACAACAAACATCTGAAAGCAGTAGAAACAGCATGTGAAAGATATAACCAAATCTCTGAAGAAATCATCAGACAAAGTCAAACAGCTCAACAGAACAAAACAAGCTGACAAACTCTTCATTGATTTGAAACTTGCAGAGAAAACAATAAAAGATAGGAGGAAAAATTACTAAAACTCTCATCAAATGATATCAAAGAGCACAACTTTCAATCAAATGATGTAATGTTTAATTTGTTTAAAACAGAGAAGTCGCTTGGTACACTGACACAGAAAACTTTAAATACAGAATGTCAACATGTACAAATAAAGTCTAGACAATCTTCACATGAGGGACAAATCTGTGTAAAGACATCAAAAGATGAATATGGGTGCTTGATAGCAGGAATGACCCTGCTGACTCCTGATCTTCTTATCATCACTGACTGTCAAAACAAAGCTGTAAAGATGGTGGATACCAGCAGTCAATCTGTGTCAGATCAACTACAACTAGATGATCAACCATGGGATATCACCACGGTAACCAGTACTGAACTTGCTGTCACACTTCCAAACATACAAACAATACAATTTATATCAATCTCATCAAACAAACTCATAAAGAAGCACACTGTGAAGGTTGATGGGAAATGTCATGGTATAAGCAGTTATCAAGGTAAACTTGTTGTGTCATTCCTTAATCCTGCAAAATTTCAGATCTTTGATATGAATGGCACTATACTGACAACAATTGATGGAAAGAATATTTTCCAAAATCCATGTTATATCACATGTAACAGAAGTTCTATCTATGTATCTGACTGGGGCATGAAGACAGTAACAAAGTTAAACTGGCAAGGTGATGTGATAGGTAGTTATAGTGGTATCAGTGATCCTACTGGAATGTCACTGTCAGATGATGGTACCGTCTTTGTGTGTGACATGGTGAGAAATGTTATAGAAGAGATATCAGGAGATTGTTCTACAGGAAAGGTGGTGCTGCAGGATCTGAAGACTCCAGTGGCTGTATGTTGGTGTGGAGAAACAAAGAAGCTGTATTATAGCTGTAATGATTGGAATGCAAAATATGACAACTTCCTTCACATCCATAACCTGTCATAGACTTGAACAGAAACTTAGTTGAATTAAATCAAACAATGTCAGTGGTTCTTCAATATTAAAAAAAAACTTGCATCATCCATTCTTCTGAAATATTAGCACTACACATGTTTTAAGTTTTGTCAGATTTTTTTTAATGTTAAAATCTTATGTTATGAGTGATTAATGATTTAAGCAATCCTTTTGTTGTATTCTTGTAATAGGTTTGGTGAGAAACAAGGAAACCAGTACCAGTCATGCTGGGAATACATGGAATAACAAGAGCACCTAGAGCATTTTTATGTTGTTCAAGGCAACAGCTATCGATAACAAAGGGACTTTATTCCTAACAGATAATGTCCCTGGTCATACAATTGTGCAGCGTGATGATAATCAAGTATTCAAGTTTCCTGTTGATATTATTCACAGTTTTGAAATCATTCTACTTAATAAGCAATTTTGACAAAAGTAAAAGGGGCATAACTTCAAAAGTATAGCGTTAAGAATAATGCCACTCTAATAATGCTCAGTGTATCAATAGTACCTTGATGATAACAACAATGACTACAATTGAATCTAAGATTGATATGGAATTAGAAAATTGTAATGTTACCAAGTTGTCTCAAAATGAAGCATTGAATCTTGAAGGTCTACTTTCATATGATGAAGTTTCTTTTACATTAAAAAACATGAAAAATGATAAAAGCCCAGGTTGTGACGGATTTACAGCAAATTTTTTTAAAATATTTTGGAATAGAATTGGACATTTTGTTGTAAAAAGCTATAAACTTTGCTTATACTGTTAATTCTTTTTCTAGAAATCAAAAGCTAGGAACAATAACATGCATTCCAAAAGAAAAAAAACCAAAACAATTTTTAAAAAAATTGGAGACCAATAAACTTTATTAAATGTAGTTTATAAATTAGCTTCAGGTTCAATAGCAAATAGACTTAAACTTGTTTTAGATATTTTAGTTTCAAAGGATCAGACAGGATTTGTTAAAAATAGATATATTGGTGAGAACACTCGATTATTGTATGATATTATGAAATATACTGAGGATAATGATATACCAGGTTTAGTAATGATGATAGATTTTGAAAAAGCATTTGATACGTTATCATTTACATTTATAGAGAAATGTCTAGAACTTTTTCAATTTGGTCCTATGTTTAAAAAATGGATATCTTTATTTTTATATAATACTGAAACTTGTGTTATTTTAAATGGATTTTTATCAAAGTTTTTCAAAGTTAAACGAGGTTGTAGACAAGGCGATCCTATTTCACCTTATATCTTCATTTTATGTGCAGAGATTTTAGCAATAAAAATAAGACAATGTAAAGATGTTAAAGGTATAAATATAGATGGGGAGGAATATAAAATTACACAATTTGCTGATGATACTTCACTTTTGCTAGATGGATCAGAAAATTCCCTTTAATACTGTTTTAAAGTTATTAAACACGTTTTCAGAAATTTCAGGATTGAAAGTAAATTTTGATAAAACTAAAGTTATTTGGATAGGCTCTCTTAAATACAGTACAAGATCTATTAAGACAAAATTGAAACTGACATGGGGTGATACACAGTTTAAATTGTTAGGTTTGATATTTGATGTTGATTTAGAAAAAATGATAGAGTTAAATTTTAATGAAAAACTTCAAAAAGTTAAAAATAGTATAGGATACTGGAAAAAAAGAATGTTAACACCTATAGGAAAAATTACTGTTGTTAAGTCATTACTCCTTCCTTTATTCACTCATTGCTTTACAAGTTTACCAACACCTAATTCAGCATTTTTGAAAACACTTAATGACTTATTTTATAAATTTATATGGGAAGGTAAAGCAAAGATAAAGCAATCAGTAGTTATTAAAACATATCAGGAAGGTGGTCTAAATATGATTGATATTGATATTTATATACATTCTATAAAGATAAAATGGTTTAAAAGGTATGTTAGTAATACTAACAGTAAATGTTATAAGCTAGTGATGGCTTTATTCAATATTGATAAAGTGTTTAGCACAGGTAAATTGTTTTGTAAATTGACAATTGATAAAATTAAAAATGCTTTTTGGATAGATGTTTTAAAAGCTTATATGATTTTTACAGATAAACTTTGTATAGACAGTTTAGAACAAGTGTTACAAATGCCATTGTTTTACAATCATAACTTGTTAGCAGGAAGTAGATACTTTTATATCAAAATTTTTTATGAAAAAGGAATCAGATTTGTTAATGATATTATTAATCCCCAAGGCGATTTTGTAGATTTAACTTACTTAGAGCAGGTGACACAAAAACAAGTAAATTTTTTACAATATCATAGTTTGAAAAAAGCAATATTATTATATACACAAAAGCTTAACATTTCTATTTGTAAAGATTTTATTAATGTTCAATACCCTATTATGAGTTGTTATATAAAACCTATTTTAATTACACAAAATAACAAAAAGTATGTTTATGAAATTCTAGTTAGAAATCAAGATGTACCAACATGTCAAGAAAAATGGAACTCATTTTTTACAAATTTTGATATAAATTGGAATTTAATATATAGTTATGTATTTAAATGTACCAAAGATTCCTATATTCAGTGGTTTCAGACAAGAATAATTCATAGAACTTTAGCAACAAACTCACTTTTATTCAAAATGAAAATTGTCAATAGTAAAATGTGTACTTTTTGCAATTGCCAAGAGGAAACTCTGTTGCATTTATTTTGGGAATGTCCAAAAATTCAATTGTTATTTCAATATCTGAAAGACAAGATAGATAATTTGGATGATAATTTTAATTGTAAATCATTTATTTTAGGTTCTGAAGTTAATGATTTTAAATATGATATTTTGTTTTTAGAATTGAAAAGATATATTTATTTGTCAAAGAGAAAAATCGTGTTACCTACAATACCTGGTTTTAAAAATAGTCTTAAATTGGCGTGGAATATTTACAAAAATACAAATTTGACCAAACATGTAAATGAAGGATGGCAAATTGTAAGAACTTTAATAAACTAATAGGCTACACTAAATCAATTTACCCCAAACCAATATTCTTTGTTTGTTTTGAAGCTGATGCATAATACATTATCATACATAATTGTTATACATATTATATGAAAATTGATTGAATGTTTGAATATAATGTATATTATAATTATATAAAAAATATTGTTATAGATGATGATTTAAATATTATGTAGATATCATGTAAGGTATCAGAGGGATGACCCCGACCCTCTCATACCTATTACGGGGTAAATAAACGGGGTTACCCAGTTGGGGCCTCAAAAAAAAAAAAAAAAAAAAAACAATGACTACAATTCAGCAATCAAAAAGCCTTGATTTTTTTTCAAAACAGACAAGCTAAAAATGAAAACTTTGTTTGTTTACATTGATAAATTGATCTGTAATAGGTTATATCAATAAAACATTTCATCTTTTATTTTACAAGTACATTATGATATGATAAAACTGGTGAGTTTTCTTTTGTAATCATCAAATGCACTGTTTATATTTTATGTTACAATACCTGCCCTGTTCCCAAGATTTTGTACTATATATCATTTTATAACACTTATATTTAAACAGATTACATCAATAAAATTAAGTATAAGCTGCTTGTTGTTGTTTAAATCAATGAGTTAAAACATAAGAATACTACATGTATATGGGTTAAAAGTATCAGTGACTATGTAGTTATAGTGGAGATAAATGTAATTGTAAGATAAACAAGAGTGATTAGTGTATTAATGCCAGCAATATGCACAACTAGGGAAGGTACTGGTCACTCCTATGAAATTTCATTGACATCCCAACAGCAGTTTCACCTGTGAAAGTCGGACATGATTTTTCTATTGATACGGGAAGTCCAAGTCTGGGTCCCAAAGTGGGCCCGGACTTGGCTTGTGCGGCAATAGACCACATGTGTATATTTAAAAGTAAATCAAATAAACAAGAAGGCCATGATGGCCCTGAGATCGCTCACCTGTATATAGGCCCCCGGGGCAGGGCCAATTTTAACCCAGGGGCTTTTATTTGAACAAACTTGATAGACTCCCATTAGAAGATGTTTCATGATAAATATCTAAGCTCTAGCTATTTAGGGTTTTTACAATAATTTTTTTAGGGATGGCAACGAATACCAAAATCAATACTTGAGTACTCGGTCATTTTTCCGATCGAGTACTCGGTTACTCGGATGATTGCCAGTGATCTTCAAAGTTTATCACACACGCGTGCTACTTTCGTTTTCTATTTAAATTCATAGAATTCTGTAGATAGTAAATAGGACTGCACGGGAGACAAATTAATTATAATTAAATCAACAACATAATATTTTACAACGTTTTGATTAATGCAATATCAAGTTTTAAACATGTATAACATTTCATATATCTTTTTTCTATTTGAAATAATATAGACTAAGCGGCGGCAGCAAAAGTTTAACATGGTCTAAATTCTAGTTACCTTTATTCTTACATTCATGATAGCAATCGGTCCTTTGTTGTTTTCAAAACAGTTACTTCGGCTACACAATTAAAGGTAATTAATATCATAAGAGGCTGGATGACATAAGCGACACAGGTGCGTGTGTCAATCTGTTGATCGCCTTGTTAAATTTATGATATCATTTTCGCACCTCTGCAAGGATGTTTTGATTGCATTTAACGGGTATTTATGAAGATACATGCTAATTTCCGAATTTCTAAACTAATTGGATATACCAATCTTTCTAAATCGCAAAAAAATAGAAAATATGTATTTTTCCCGAGTAATCGAATATCAATTTTGTTAACCGATATTCGGACGTTCGATCGAGTACTCGGTTAACCGGTTACTCGTTGCCATCCCTAATTTTTTTAAAGCTTTTACTATACACATATAGGGAAAAACAATGACCCAAAATTTTGACCCCAGTGCTTTTATTTAAACAAACTTGGTAAACACCACTAGAAGATAATTCATGCTTAGTATCTAAACTCTAGCGCTTTTGATTTTTTTTTAAAAGAAGATTTTTTAAGTTTTTACTATACACATATAAGGAAAATCAATGACCCCGAGGCGGGGCCAATTTTAACCCCAGGGCCCTTATTTGAACAAACTTGATAGACTTCCATTAGAAGATGTTTCATGTAAATATCTAAGCTCTAGCTATTTAGGGTTTTTACAATAAATTTTTTAAGTTTTTACTATACACATATAGGGAAAAACAATGACCCCAAATTTTGACCCCAGTGCTTTTACTTGAACAAACTTGGTAAACATTCACTAGAAGATATTTCATGCTTAGTATCTAAACTCTAGCTCTTTGGATTTTTTTTAAAAGAAGATTTTTTAAGGTTTTATTATACACATATATGGAAAATCAATGACCCCGAGGAGGGGCCAATTTTAACCCCAGGGCCCTTATTTGAACAAACTTGGTAAACACTCAATAGAAGATTTTTCATGCTAAATATCTTAGCTCTAGCTTTTAGGTTTTTTTTAAAGAACATTTTTCAACTTTTTACTATATACATCAAGGGAAAAACAAAGACCCCCTGGGGTGGGGCCAATTCTGACCCCAGGCCTTTTATTTGAACAAACTTGGTAGACACCCACTAGAAGATGTTTCATGTTTAATATCTAAGCTCTAGCTATTTTGTTTCTTTTAAGGGTATTTTTTAAGTTTTTGCTATACAGTAAACTCCGCTTAATACAACCTTATCATTATAAAAGTGTAATTGTCTATACTATAACTAAAATGGGACTAAGAAATGATTTCCTTATAAGCGATAATTCCTTACATCTGTGTTCGCTTTAACCGTATATTTTTATATTAAATGAAGAAGGGCAAAATTTGGGCCAAAAACAATTGTTCCTTATAACCGGAAGTTCCCTATAGCAGTTATCACTATGAGTGAAGTTTACTGTATACAAATAAGGGAAATCAATGACCCCCTGGGGCAGGGCCAATTTTTTTTCCCCAGGGCTTTTATTTGAACAAAATTGGAAGACAACCACCAGAAGATGTTTCATGCTAAATATCTAAGCTCTAGCTATTTTGGTTTTTTAAAAAGAAGATTTTTTAAAGTGTTTACTATATACAAATAAGGAAAATCAATGACCCCCACCCTTGGGCGGGGCCAATTGCTTGAACAAACTTGGTAGACACTGACTAGACAATGTTTCATTCCAAATATTTAAGCTCTAGCTCTTTCGGTTTTTAAAAACAAAATTTTTAAGTTTTTTCTTTTGGTTCCATGATGACGCAACCAGATTTCTGCATGGAATTAAATTCTTAGAACAATTTTTAAAGTTGAGTACCAAAGGAAAATTCCTGTGATGTTTGGATTAAATTGGCTTAGCGGTTTATGAGGAGATGTTGTTTTAAAGTTAAAGTTTACGGCCGGACGCCGGATGAAAAGCGCCTACAAAAGCTCACCATGTAACTTTGTGACAGGTGAGCTAAAAAAGTGATTTCATTCATCTCTAGTATAAAATCATGCAAAATATCAATTACAGTATTGAGCTAAAAACATACATGTTAATCAATTTTTAAATCGGCTAACATATCTTTTTAAGTTTGAATTTTTAACATTTTGGTAAACCATTATAGAAATATGCTTCTTTTTTCAAAAACCCCTCATCATTGAAAATAGAGAAAAAACAAATCAATAAAAAATAAGCATTTTCTGATTTACCTGGCATGGAACTCTACCATCCTCAAATAGGCATCTATCTGATCTTGAACAAATTCAGTGCTTGCATTCTTTTCATAGAAACTGCACAGACCCTGTAACATATTATAACTTAGATTCTTATAAACATTCAATCATACTAGTCTACATAGCTAAATCTGTTAGAGCGCGATACTTGTGATCTTGACATTGTGGGTTTGATTCCCAGGCTGGCCAACTAAATCAAACTGCTGCAGCACTGAATGCGACAGATATGCAACCGGAGAGACATTAAGGCTTCTTTTAGAAAAAAAAACACAAAACACAAAAGATATAACAGAGAAAATTTGTTCCATACAAGTTCGAGATTTGTAGAGCAATATATTGTCCCAATCTGATATAATTCAGATTTTCTACTTTCAAGCATTTAAATACAGAATGAAATTTATGCCTAAAAACTCTGGTCAATCTTGTAAATCAGTGTCCTTATCGATTTATTCCAAGAAATGATATGTAAATAAAAAAAACTGTCAACGAAATATTTCTAACATAAAACAATGCAAATAAACTTCAAGCATAATACATAATACATGTGAGAATGTTAATTAGAATTGCTTCGTGGGCATATAGACAATAAAATATAAGTCATTTGTATTTTTATTTCCCTTGGATATGTCTCATTAAAAATATTTTTGGTTAAAATCATCAGCAAATAATGGTGTATTTTTTAGATTTTTTTTTATTTACAAGGGAAAGATGTAGACGCCAGAGCTCATCGTTTTTATTTTAATCTAAATGTCACTTAAGTGTTTAGTTGTCCTTTTCAATTTCACACTAAATTCCATTTTCAATTTGTTTGCTTCCTACAATTGTATAGAATTTCTTAAAGTATTGCATGTAAACAAAGTATGTATCGGCTGGTTTATTACATGTATAATGTGTACTCTCCGAAAGTCAGCAGAATCAATTTTTAGAATAGCGAAGGATAACTCATATTGTGACCTAGAAAAATATGTAAACAAAACACAAGAATCGGAAGTAGAACTGATATTATAACTTCCTTCAATAAAGATTACCATGAAAGACTACATGATGGTAAAGTGTTGAAAAACTCTCTTGTTACATGCATTTTCAAAAATAGATATTTATAATACTAACCATTGTATTATTTATTAATAACTGCTGGATATTCAGCTAAACTGCGGTATGAGTCACGAAAATAGTTCTTCTTTTATTAATGCGCGTTTTATTCTAGAGTCACAAAAAACTTTTGATTTGTTAATAATAATGTTTTGTTTAATGTAGAAATATTCATTTCCTACTAATAATTTCTTGGAACTCAGAGCTTACACCTTAATTATTGTTTAATTTGATGTCCTACTTTTTCGACAGCGGTAAATCGTTTCGGCAGTAATTTGCATATTGCGCAATAATACTATGGGACTACAAGGTTTTTATCAATCATATACGTTCATATTTTAACTTGGATAACTTAATTTGAAATTGAAAAGTCTAAATATGGAAGATTTTAAGATATCCCAACAAAGTATGGGAGTTTTAAAGGATCAAATTCATGTACTATTTCTTGGGCTGTTATCCGGTTGAGGACACTTGCGCGATTGTAGCCGATGAAATCCCATGTGTAGATGATTTAGCTCTGAATGCGCCTGAGGGCGCGTCCGTTGCAAAAATTACAACTCAGTCTTTCACATGAGACTTTAAATCGAGGTCCTGTGATGAGTGCTTCAACGCTTGGCAAGCTAGAGAACCAGGAGAAGCTTCTGGAATTGGGATATCTTTCTAAATCTGTATCTTGCACTATCCTCCAAAATCAACAAGAGCTGTAACAGGAGACAGCCAAGCTCGACTAATAAAATACTGGACGCAGTAAGGAGGACAAAACTATGAAAGAAAAATCAATTATGTATAATTAAGTATTAAGTTATAGTAAAATCAAAGCGCTGAAAGCACTGCTGGGGGCGCATTATGTTGATTGTATAGTGGTCTATTGTTACAAGCAGATGCCATTCCTACTTTCAAAGCAGATGTCACATTTTTACTCGATTATTCGATAAGAATAAGTAGAATTATCCTAGTCATCTGAACATTGGCGTCTATCACCTCAATTTTTCCCGAAGTCCATTGACATATGGCAATGAAACTTTGCACACTTGATCCCGATCAGGCACCCATTTGTTAAAGATTGCCTATGGCTTCAAGATATTTTCGTATTCCATAGACATCTGGCTTTGAAATAAATGGAAATGTTATACATTTCTTTGCGAGCATACTAGCTAGGACTCTCTCCAATGCTTATATCTGTAGAATATTGGGTTTAAAGAAATTTTTGGTCCTTTTGTGAACTTAAAATATTTTAAATAACCAAGGTTCTTCTATTGTTTAGCACTAAGCATATAGTTGAGTGTGCTGTCCTACCAACAGCTATTGTTTGCATACCTTGTGAAATATAACTCCTTCAAACTTTTGTTCAGTTATTATTATACAAACACAAGAACTGTCTGAGGACAGTAAGGCTCGACTATTCGAAAAAGTTGTCACAAGGGTGTTTATTGAGTATAAAAATGCTTACCAATGAATACATAAAACTGACCGAAAAGGTACAAAGGCTTGGATTAAGATGTTTTATCAAGTAAATCACTGCTTTATTATCAGGAATGCATAAAATTGTCCCAAAAAAGGCACAAACCCTTCAGTAGTTATGGAGATAACATGCTTACAAGCAAAACTTTACCATTAAATTCTAAGTTGAAAAAGGGGAGAAAAATAAGCCTAAATTCTCGATAAAATTATGGATCTTGGTCAGTAACCTACATGTACAATTATGACCCTAAATGCATGTGAAGTTTTAATATTGTAAGCAGAGTTATCCAACTTGTCAATCTGATGTACATTGTTACTATAAATAACTATTGTAAGTTTCAATTGAATATCTCAAGCAATAATTGAGATATTTGACTTTTAAATAAACTTAAACCAACGCAGACGCGGACGCTGGGTTACTACAATAGCTCTCATATTTTTCAAATAGTCGAGCTAAAAACTACCAAGTCATGGTTGAGACCATATAGTTATTCCATATATAAATATATATGTATATATCATGGAAAACATTTCAAGATGTTACAATGGATTGTAGTGTATAACAAGAAAATCAGTGTACTTTAACTTTAATCCAATAATCATACAAACATCTGTAAATAACTGGAACAAAATATTTCTTAAATAAAACCATACAAAACAAGAGGGCCATGATAGCCCTAGATCGCTCACCTGACTTATCAAACTCATCCAAACAATTACCTAGACAAACATTCTGACCAAGTCTCATGACAGGTGAGTACTACAGTGTTAACAAGGATTATCCATATTTGAGCAGTGCCACCTTGTTTTTTACTCAGGTGACACATATTCAAACTTGACCTAGAAATCATCAAAACAAACTGTCAGACCAATTTCCAGGATACTTGGAATGAAACAGTAGCAACAAGAGTGTTAACAAGATTTTTCTATTTTTAGCTCCGGTGACCTAGTTTCACATGCGATTTCGAACTCATCCAAGCAATTACCTAGACAAGCATCCTGACCAAGTTTGATGATAATTGAGTCGAAAATGTGACCAGTAGAATGTTAACAAGGCTTTTCCATATTTGGGCGGTGTGACCTAGTTTTTCATCCAAGATGACCCATGTTGGATCTTGACTTAGAAATCATCAAAACAAACTTTTAGACCAATTAACAGAATATTTGGATCACAACAGTAGCCACTAGAGTGTTAACAAGATTTTTCTATTTTTATCTCCTGTGACCTAGTTTTTCATCCGAGATGTCCCATGTTCGATTTATTCCCAGCAATGACCTAGGCAAGTTTCCTGACCAAGTTTGCTAACAATTGAGTCAAAATTGTGACCACTAGAGTGTTAACAAGGTTTTTCTATTTTTAGCTCCTGTGACCTAGTTTTTCATCCGAGATGACCCATTTCCGAACTCATCCGAGCTATCACCTAGACAAGCATCTTAATCAAGTTTGATGATGATTGATGCAAAAATGTGACCACAAGAGTGTTAACAAGGTTTTTCTATTTCTACCCCAGGTGACCTACTTTTTCATCCAAGATGACCCATGTTCAAACTCATCCGAGCTATCAACTAGACAAACATCTTGACAAAAGTTTGATGATGACTGATGCAAAAATGTGACTGCTAGAGTGTTAACAAGGTTTTTCTATTTTTAGCTCCGGTGACCTACTTTTTCATCCGAGATGACCCATGTTTGTACTCATCCGAGCTATCACATAGACAAGCATCTTGACCAAGTTTGATGATGATTGATGCAAAAATGTGACCGCTAGATTGTTAACAATGTTTTTCTATTTTTAGCTCCGGTGACCTACTTTTTCATCTGAGATGACCCATGTTCAAACTCATCCAAGATATCAACTAGATAAGCATCCTGACCAAGTTTGATGATGATTGATGCAAAAATGTGACTGCTAGAGTGTTAACAAGGTTTTTCTATTTATAGCTCCGGTGACCTAGTTTTACATCCGAAATGACCCATGTTCGAACTCATCCGAGCTATCAACTAGATAAGCATCCTGACAAAGTGTGATGATGATTGGGTCAAAAATGTGACCACTAGAGTGTTCACAAGGTTTTTCTATTTTTAGCTCCTGTGACCTAGTTTTTCATCAGAGATGACCCATGTTCAAACTCATCCAAGCAATTGACTAGACAAGCATTCTGACCAAGTTTGATGATGATTGGTTTAAAAATGTGACCACTAGAGTGTTCACAAGGTGTTTCTATTTAAAGCTCCTGTGACCTACTTTTTCATCAGAGATGACCCATGTTCGAACTCGTCCGAGCTATCACCTAGGCAAACATCCTGACCAAGTTTAATGATGATTGGGTCAAAAATGTGACCTCTACAGTGTTCACAAGGTTTTTCTTTTTTTAGCTCTTGTGACCTAGTCTTTCATCCGAGATGAATCATGTTCGAACTCATCCATGCTTTCAACTAGATAAGCATCCTGACCAAGTTTGATGATGATTGAGGCAAAAATGCGACCGCTAGAGTGTTCACAAGCAATTGTGGACGGACGACGGACATTCACCGATCCTTAAAGCTCACCCTGAGCAAGCTCAGGTGAGCTAAAAACCAAAAACTGATGATGACAGAAAGGGTATCACTTTATGCCTATAAAATTTTTTTTGCTCAAGTGATTTTTTTTCAAAGAGCTACATGTGAAATTGCTGCCAAATATACATAAATAAAATCTATTTCAAAGCTGCATGCATTCATATAAATATATTTAAAAAAAATCAAACTTGATTAAATAAAAAAAAAGTTCAAGGATAGCCCAAACTTGTTAATTATAAAAAAATATATATACAGAATATTATGTTGTAGTAGCTCTCTGAGGCTTTGTATTTTGCTATGAGCAGCGGTGGGAAATTGATATCTTGTGAGACCAAAGGGCGAGCTAGATAACAATTTTCCAACATTGCAAGTAGAAAAATGCATAGCCTCAGAAAGCTACTACAACATAATTTTCCTTTAATAATATACCTTTTCGTTTGAAGTATAAATGATTTTCATTAATTACACTTATATAAGAAATTTCAGAAAAAGAAATGTAGCTGTCAAGAAATAAATTATGACTGACAGATGAATACGTAATTTGTGCAAAACCAGCTACACCTTTTATTATTTTGGTTGCCATTTCCATATACTATGTTATACACAGCTAAGATCAGAACCAACATTAACAAGAACCGGTTGAACCGGGTGATGCTCCCCGAGAAGGTTCTGGACACTGGAAAGTATAAAAAAAATGAACAAAGGGCAAAAACCCCAAAATTAGGCAAAGCGGAGTTATGTTTTTTTTTTGCACTGCACTTCTATTCAATTAGATCTTTCTATCTATAAAATTGCCTGATGATATCAGAGTTATGTCCAAGGTAAAATTCAAAGTGTAAAAATGAATAAGGGTAATAACTCCAAAATTAGTCCAGGCTTTCTTTAGGTTCTTTAAGCATTGCAGTTCTATCCAATTATATCTAGCTACCTACAAAGTTTCATGTTGATATCTCTAATAGTTTTAAAGTTATGTCTCGTACAAAAGTCAAAAAGTAAAAATAAACAAAGGGCAATTACTTCAAAATAAGGCAAGGCAGAGTAATAATTCTTAAGCACTGCTTAGAGTAATGTCCCGGACAAAGTTCAAAGTGTCAAAATGATCAAAGGGCAATAACTCCAAAAGTAGGCAAGACAGTGTTACAGTTCTTGTGCACTGCAAACTTACTCAACGATATCTATCTACCTACAAAGTTTCATGTTGATATCTCTTTTACATTGAGAGTTATGTCTTGGACAAAGTTCAAAGTGTAACAAGAGCCATGTCAACATGGCCATCCCCCGCCGAATGTGTTTGCTCATTGGAAGAATGTATATGTAGTAGAGCAGAATAATTCCATTTTAAGAGGTCTTTTGGTAATGAAAACTGATGGCTATAGTGATTACAGATTTGAAACCTATGTGAATACTGATGGCTGAAAATAACAAAGGGCAATAACTGAAAAATAATGCAGGGTAGGTTATCATTCTTGTGTGCTGCATCCCTCCTCAGTAAAATCTATCCACCTATGAAGTTTCAAGTTGATACCTCAAATACTTTTTGAGAAAAAAATTGAATTGAAAAATTAAGTATGAAAAATAACAAGAGCGATCAGTAATCACATGTGTCGCCTCATAATGGCCAATTTCATGTTGGGACAAATTTTGTGACAGACGGACAGACAGACGGACAGTGCACAACTGGACTTGGTACTGATCAATCATGTAAAGTTTGGATAAAATTGCACCAGTAGCTTATGAGGAGTAGTCCGGACAAGCTTTTGCGTATCTGGCAACACACAGAAAAAAACACCTTTTTATCAAAGGGCCATAACTCAGCCAAAAATCATTCAACCGGAAAACCCGTGCAATATGCGCAAGGACTTGAGCTACAGATCAATCCTGTAAAGTTTCATTGAAATTGCATAAGTGGTATAAGAGAACTAGTCCGGACAAACTTTAAAAATAAAAATTATTAAAGGGCCATAACTCTGACAAAAATCATTGAACCGGAAAATGTTGACAATATGCACAACTAGACTTGGTACTGATCATTCCTGTAAAGTTTGGATGAAATTGCACCAGTAGTTTATGAGGAGTAGTCCGGACAAGCTATTGTGTATCTGGCAACACACAGAAAAAAACACCTTTTTATCAAAGGGCCATAACTCAGCCAAAAATCATTCAACCGGAAAACCCTTGCAATATGCGCAAGGACTTGAGCTACAGATCAATCCTGTAAAGTTTCATTGAAATTGCTTTAGTGGTATAAGAGAAGTAGTCCGGACAAACTTTAAAATTAAAAATCATTAAAGGGCCATAACTCTGACAAAAATCATTGAACCGGAAAATGCTGACAATATGCACAACTAGACTTGATACTGATCATTCCTGTAAAGTTTGGATGAAATTGCACCATTAGTTTATGAGGGGTAGTCCGGACAAGTTTTGTGACGGACGGACAGACGGACAGACAGACAGACGGACAGACAGACGACGGAGAAGTGATCCCTATATGTCGCCACTACTCCGTAGAGGCGACACAACAAAGGGCAATAACTCAAAAATTATAAAAGGTACAGTTATCATTCTTGTGCAGTGCACACCTCCTGAGTGAGATCTATGCACCTATGAAGTTTCATTTTGATATCTCAAAGGTTTTTTGAGTTATGCTCTGGACAAAAATTAATTTTGAAAAATAACAAAGGGCAATAACTCAAAAATAATGCAGGGTAGAGTTATCATTCTTTAGCACTGCACTCCTCCTCAATGAGATCCATCCACCTATAAAGTTTCAAGTTGATACCTCAAATACTTTTTGAGATAAGCTCTGGACAAAATAGCATGAAAAAAACAACAAAGGGCAATAACTCAAAAATTGTATAGGGAAGAGTTATTATTCTTGCGCACAACATTCCTCCTCAATAAGATCTATCCTTCTATGACATTTCATGTTGATATCTCAAACACTTTTTGAGTTATGCTCCACTCAGGTGAAAAATAAGGTATGAAAAATAACAAAGGGCAATAACTCAAAAATTATGAAAGGAAGAGTTATCATTCTTGTGCACTGCACACCTCCTGAGTGAGATCTATGCACCTATGAAGTTTCATGTTAATATCTCATAGGCTTTTGGAGTTATGCTCTGGACAAAAATCAATTTTGAAAAATAACAAAGGGCAATAACTCAAAAATCATGCAAGGTAGAGTTATCATTCTTGTGCACTGCACTCCTCCTCAATGAGGTCTATCCACCTATGAAGTTTCAAGTTGATAACTTAAATACTTTTAGAGATATGCTCCGGACAAACATTTCGGACGGAAGGTCGGACGGACGGAGACTATTTCTATATCCTCCGCCGAATATTTTCGGCGGGGGATAAAAATAAACAAAGGGGGATAATTCAAAAATTAGGCAAGGGAGAGTTAAGGTTCTTGTGCACTGCTTACCAACTCAATGAAATCTATCTACCTACAAAGTTTCATGTTGATACCTGTTATAGTTTTAGAGACAAAGTTCAAAGTGTAAAATAAAGAAAGGGGGATAATTCAAAAATTAGGCAAGGCAGAGTTACGGTTCTTGTGCACTGCATACCAAGTCAATGAGATCTATCTACCTACAAAGTTTCATGTTGATACCTCTTATAGTTTAAAGGTTATGTCCAGGACAAATTTCAAAGTGTAAAATAAACAAAGGGGGATTATTCAAAAATTAGGCAAGGCAGAGTTACGGTTCTTGTACACTGCATACCAAGTCAATGAGATCTATCTACCTACAAAGTTTCATATTGATACCTCTTATACTTTTAGAGTTATGTCCCAGACAAAGTTCAAAGTGTAAAAATAAACAAAGGGGAATAATTCAAAAATTAGACAAGGCAGAGTTACGGTTCTTGTGCACTGCACACCTACTCAATTAGATCTATCTACCTACAAAGTTTCATGTTGATACCTCTTATAGTTTTAGAGTTATGTCCCGGACAAAGTTCAAAGTGTAAAATAAACAAAGGGGAATAATTCAAAAATTAAGCAAGGCAGAGTTAAGGTTCTTGTGCACTGCACACCTACTCAATGAGATCTATCTACCTACAAAGTTTCATGTTAATACCTGTTGTTGTTTCAAAGTTAAGTCCCGGACAAGAAAAGGGGATGGACGGACGGACGGACAAGGCGGCGACTATATGCTCACCCGAAATTTTTTGGGGAGCATAAAAATAGTCCAGGCCTTTCATATATGGTACTGTATTTGTCTCTAACATAATACAGAATTTTCTAACCGTTGAAAACTATTTGCGCTTCAAGATAATCCTGTGTTTTAGGAAGAAAATTTATTGGTATATAATAAATGCTGTCATTGACATTTCTTATGCTTATATTTATTATATGTATTTCTTGCAATCCTATTTATAGCTACAAATTCTATGAATTAAAATAGAAAATGAAGGTAGCATGCAGACGGTGTTGATATTGTGTGATAAAATTTTAAAGATCATTGGAAATCATCCCAGTAACCGAATACTCTAAATGACCGAGTACTCGAGTATTGATTTTAGTAATTGTTGCCATCCCTAAAAAAATAAAGTACTTGACAAGATCAACTAACATCTAAATAAAAAACTTTGAAAACAGAATTAATTATTTTGAAAAATTCACTCTGAGCTGTATTATTTAAAATGGGTGTTCAAACACATTGAAAACATTGATAATTCATTTCATGTTCTTGGTGATGAAGTGGTGCCTCAACATAGTTATCACTGCAATCTATCTTCCCTCATAACTCCTACTATTACTGTATCTGTCAAACAAGCATCTCTGTTTTCTGAAATAGAGTTTTGAAAAAGTTTATTGCTGACCGAGATATTCCATACTTGTATGTTTACTTTTTTTCAGCATCTTTCTGTTAGAATTACTCTGATTTATAAAGGTATAAAACCAAAAAATGCGCGACCAATGCCAGAGCTCAACCCCTCTGATCAGATTTCACAAACGAGCATCTGAGTAGAATCACCGCCTTTTTTTAAAGCTAGCTGGATTGCTTTCTCACATTAAAGAATCCATATTAAATATAATAGAACATTGATAATTGCTACACAGTCTCTTTGTAAACATAAAATAAGCATGTTTTGTGTTTACATAAAGTAGCTATGTAATGTTAAAACACCACATGCTATAGTTGGTCACAATATAAATATATCGTGTTGTTAGGAAACTGACAGTTTTTTTAAGAAGGACCAAATTTTTTTTTGTCTCGTAAGAAGGAACATGGCTTCCAATGCATAGTTAATTCATTCAAATTAGACATATTCAAAAAGAATTGCATAGAATTCAATACATTTTCATGATTAAAATATTTTACTGATGAGCATAGTATATCTTTAAAGGTAAGTGGTTTAGGTGAATTACTTTGACTATGGTCACCCCAATTAAATCTATTTATTTGCTTAGTAACACAACTTTTTAAAGTCATATAAATTTGTAAATGTGAGTGATTCTGATAATCTATATACAGCTAAGTCGAGATGAGATGATTAGGTTTTACTGACTGCTTACTACATGAAGTCACTATTTCAATGTCAAATGCCTTGAGGTGAAAGGAATGAAAACTTGAATTTCAAAATACAATTTAAGTGAATTACATGTCACAAATGAGCCATGTCATGACAAAACCAACATAATGGGTTTGCGACCAGGATGGATCCAGACCAGGTTGGTCTGATCAGGATCCATGCTGTTCGCTTACAAACCTTATTACAAGTAGAGAAACTGATAGCGAACAGTATGGATCCTGATCAGACTGGGCGGATGCCCATTATGTTGGTTTCGTCATGACACGGCTAAAATGTTTTTGCTATCGACTTTTGTTCCTAAATTAACAACAGATTGCATAATGAAAAGATATTGAAATAATTAATATACAATTGGCTCTAAGTGCCAAGCTTACAGATTTTAAATAAACCTTGAGCCCTGTGTTGGCCTTTAAACATGTCAAACATTTAGAAAGTATTTATTAAGGAAAAGTGTATACAAATAATCATGTACCTCTTCATTATATGCCCATGACATTGAAAAAACATTGTGTCATCTGTTTACTTCAAGGTTAGTCACATTGACAGTATCCAGAGCTGCATTACTGTTACTGGTACTGGTACTGCAGTACGTACTGCAGCGATTTTGCAAGTACTGGTACTGATACTGAATTACTCTTACAAAATTTTGCTACTACTGGTACTGGTATTGCATTACTGTCTTAAAAAGTGGTACTGCTACTGCAGTACCCAGTACTTTTGGTTTTGATAAAAATTAAAAATAGCATCAATTTTTCTCATAGAATAAAACTGTAAATTACATTAACTATATTTTATTTTTGTGAAAAAGTAAGTTATCAAATCTAAAGATAATTTGCTGCAATATTCCTTCAAATGTTAACATAGAGCACCAAAGACTTTAAGTAAAAATTAAATTAAGATAAACAGACTCAATAACTCTTTACAGTACCCTAAAATATCCTTATTAAAATCTTTTATTACTTTGTATTTACTAGTAAAAGAGCAAAATAAACACTAATTAATTTCTTCTATTCTAAATAATCCCATTTCAAGTGAAAAAGCACCATAAAAAGTTGTTATTTACTTTGTTAGAAATTGAACAGAGGTGTGAAAGGCAACAAAAGACTGTTGTATTTAAATGAAAGATGTTTGCATTGTATTTATACAGTTGACTGGTTACTAAACAATTAGATATGACATGAATATATGTTGTAAATATTGTTTGTAAAAGTATGTTAAAACTATAAAGTTGTAAATATGTTATGTTAACTTTAAAGTAAATTATGATTTTATTTCTATGCTGAATAATACTTGCAATTATTTGTTTGACACTGTATTTATTCAAACATTGATGAATGTATAAAAGTAATGGTACTGATACTTAATTACTTCACCAAAAAAATTACTGGTACTGCAGTACCGAGCTAAAATCTAGTACTGGTACTGGTAATGGTACTGCATAATTTGCCAAGTACTGGTACTGGTACTTAAGTACTACACTCTTAGTACTGATGCAGCTCTGACAGTATCACATTTTAGACTTCATCTCTCGTGATTCCATTCATAAAAAGCATCCTCAAAATGGGTCCTCTTAATTTCACATTCATCAATCTGACAAAAACCTCCTGGAAAAGAAGTTAGAAACATATGCCACTAATTATGTCAGTTAATGTCAAATAAATACTTTGAGAAACTATTTGGTCAAAAAATTGTAAATATACAAAGATTTTCAAACCAAATATATATATAACAATGAACATTTCCTTTTTTTAACTTTCTAACATATATAATGTATGGTCTTACTTGAAGAAAAATGGTTTGCCCGTGTGACCGAAAAGGGATTAAGGACCATTACTATTGTTTTTCCTTTTGTTTATTAAAGGGCCAGGCCCCCATACTCTATTGTTATGGAATGAATTCTATTGTTCTCTTTTGTCATGCTACAGTAAGATGGATATATATATCAAAGTCAGAAAAAAGCTAACATGTTTTTACCTTAATGGCCTGTATAATTATGTTTCACAGCTTCTCAGCAAACAACCAACTGAGCCACAATTGAAATCTAACAAACAAGCCTTTATTCACAACCTGAAATAAAAACTTTTCCTAATCAATACAATAGTTCTTTTAATTTATTACATACTTCATTGAAACATTAAGAAATATTGATTTAAAGTAAAATGCTCATTTTCATTTCCTGTATTTTCAATGTAATTATTCATTTTTCATTGCGTATTTTCACAAGTGTCTCCTAAATTTAGCCTATACACAATAGACTGTAAAGAATAATAGGGCAATTTCTTTATAATTTCAAGTATTTATAGTCGAAACAGTACTTTTTAAAGGCATATATATGGGTAAGTTGAATGTTGCATGTCCAGATATGATTGACTAACAATAATTATTGTAAAAGTGAGTAATAATTGTCGGAATCATAGCTCAATCGGTAGAGAACATAGCTCGAGGTTACCAGATTTCAAAAAAAAAAAAATTATAAATTTTGTTCTGACATGTCAGGAACAACTTAGACATGTCAGGAACAACTTGAAATTTAAATGAGTTTTTCGTTTGATTGATTTTTGTTACCTATCTTACTTTTTCATTGAAGTATCTTTACCTTCTTAAAAATTATGCCCAAATCTCATTTCTTTCTCTTTTTTTTAAACTTCTTTTCATGAATTTAATAACTTACTTCACTAGTAAGTCAAATGATTTATTATCTCAAACAATGTAATTACATGTAGTATAAGTTTTATGGAAATAATGTGGTTAATCACTTGCAGTTAATCAAGGCTTGACAAATCCACTTGTCCGCTCATAAATGATAAATACGAGTAAAAATGACTCTGGACAAGTTAATCTCCCAAAAATGCCGTCCTGCAGGACGTGTGAAATTTCTAGCATAAATTAATCAAATTTCAATTCAATACTTTTGAAACCATTTTTCAAGTTTTACTAGTAGGACAGAGCACAAAATAATTCCCCTGTGTTTGATGGGCAAAACTGATGTTGATTTGTTGAATGCAACGCTTAATTCTGTCTGATTCAATTTTGTAAAAAACTTACTAAAAGCCCGTGCGGCGATTCCAGTATGTTCCACAAAATTTTTTTTAAAATGTCAGCAATGCAATATTTTGTCAAATGTTTACCAGAAAGAAGTAAGTTAAACAGTGTCTTCAAAAAGAAAAAATTGTCTTCAAAAAAGAAAAATGAGTCAGAACATGTAGGAAATTTATATTTTTTAAGCATTTTTTTTTGTTGTTGTTTTTCGTTTTTCAATCCCTGATATATTATTTTGTAGTATTTGCAACTATTATCTATTCTATTTGTAATAGAACAGCATTTTTCCCTTATAAAACTATTTACATTCCCAATAAAAAAAGACAGCAAATTTTCAAATGTTTATTTTTAAAGTCCCAAAATTACTGTCAAAATGCCCATCCAAAATTGGCATATATAAAATGGATGATTCACTATTGATAAGTGATATGTGATAAAAAACCAAGTATAAACTACATCTGACAGAGCAATAATTTGTACCTAGTTTCATTTTATACTTCTGAACATTATTTATGTACATGTACTCATTTTTTTCACTCCAATAAGAAATCAATATATTATGCATGGTTTAACTTTAAATGTGTATAAATATTATGCATAATTCTCATGTCTCCCTGGATAAAATTCTAAATTAACCATGTGGCATGAATACCTGTCAGTTATGTAGTATCAATTTGAGTCAAAACGCATTTTTCCAAAAAAAAATTGTACTGGTAGCGTTATAGATGTTACACAGAACTAAGCAAATGTCAGGGTTTTTCAATGCTAATCCCAGTGTAAATATAATTATAACCTTACTTCAAATTTCTTAAAATGAGGGGTGAAGTGTCTGCAAAAAAGGGCCTAGGTGAAGTGTCTGGGGGGTGAAGTGTCTGTAAGCCGAGGTGATGGACAAGGCAAGACATGTTCGATTTTTTTTAGCTTATTATGAAGTTGCAGTACATGAGAGACTGGCACATGATGAATCAGCACATAAATAAAACAATCTAGTGTTCTGTGGTTTCTAAGTGTCATACCTCAGCTCTTTTCCTTATTACAATGAAATTTTTACATGATTGTTATCCACCGCTGGTTTGTTTTAAGCAGTGAATGATAGGTACCGTTTCAGCAGATTTCGCAAAGAGGGTACAAATATTGGATTATGCACCGTGGATCCAGTTTCATTCTTTGAGAAAATTAATAAGACATCATATACTAACTTGTATATTTTTTATTTAAAAAAAGCTGTAAGGTAAGCATCAACAATATGTATACGCTAGATGTAAATAACTCACCTCCAAAAAATATATAAAAAAAAAATGGGTCAAAAATGTCTGGGTAGGAAATGGTTTGAGGGAGGACTTTCAAGGGAAGGAACTGCTAAAATTATAAGGTCAATTCAGTACAAAAAAGCTTTACCCGATAATGGCCTATTGTGAAGAAAATTTGTAAAAAATACAGCTTTTGATTGCAACTTAAATATCAACGTTATGAAATATAAACAATGAACATCAGTCATCTTGAATAACGTTGTATTTAAAGTCATATCCGGTATTAAGTCCTTGTTACTTGTATTTTTTGTAAGCAACCAGAATCGCCAACGATTTGACTACGATTTCGCCACTGTATAAATGGATAAATGCAAAACAAGCAAAGTTATACAACATTTAGGTAAATGGGAGATAAGGTTTTTGTAATATAAAACTTACAACTCGTTTTAACACGTGGAACTTCTATATAAACTTCTCAATCTTTCACGGATGAACTTGTAAACAATGGCGATTGCGGTTAAAATGACGTTAGGGCGAAAATAGTTCGTATTCATACGCATGCATTGTTTTTCTTAAATCTTTCACTTATGAAGCATTAGGCCCTATAAGCTTTAAAGTTAGCTGATCTGAAATCCGTATTCCATTACTTGCTAAATTTTTTTGAGTTCTATGACACTTAATTAACTTGTGACTACATGTAATTTGTTATTATATTTATGCAAGTACTTTGGCTATGATCGACCGCTGGCGTAGTAATTTATTTAAAATCGCGTAAAGCAAAAATATACCATACAATTTTAAAAGAACGATTGCTAAATTTAGTACAAAATTGGCCCAGTCAATTTTAAAAATAGATAGGGGAACTATGATTTTGGAGTTACTGGCGAAGTTTTGGAACCTATTTTGCTTAGCGTAAGGTAGCTGACTAATTGTGTTCACATCATAGTAAATCTGAATTTGTCGTTATTACATTGGGGGCATGCGCCCCCAAAAATAACATATGTTAACATAAATTCCAAGACCAAGGGAAATAAACCCCAAATAGTCCGAAGAGTTATAAACCCTTTTCACACAAATGTGTTTTAATGATAAAAAATATATATTTGAAGTTTTAAATGGGGTACCCCTTAAAAAAGTAAAAAAGTTTTAATATTTCTTTAAAAAAAATCCCTTTTAAAAAAAAAATCTGTAAAAATTGCTTCAAGAGTTATGAACATTGTCACATAAAATGTTATTGATGATAATGAATAAGTATTTGAAGTATGAAGTAGATCCCTTTGGAAATAAATAAGTTACAGTAAAAAATAATATTTTTTAAGGAAAATTTTAAGTTCAAGGGGAAATTAATCTGAAAATATTGGTGCTAAAGTTATGAACCTTGTCACATAAGATGAGGATGATGATAAGGTACATATATTTGAAGTATGAGGTTGATTCCTTAAGAAATAAAGAAGTAACAGTAAAAAAATTGTATTTTTTAGGAAAATTCTAAGTTCAAGGGGATATAAATCTGAAAATATTGGTGCTAGAGTTATGAACCTTGTCACATAAGATGTGGTTGATGATAAGGAACATATATTTGAAGTTTGAAGTTGATACCTTAAGAAATGACAAAGTTATAGTGAAAAATATTTTACTGCACCAAAACTTTAATCTGAAATCTGGAAGCGGACGCCGAGCCGAGTAGGACAGTTCTCCATATACTTCGTATAATGGGCTAAAAATAACTAATACTCTTCTGGAGGACACGCCCATATGAGCAACCGGTGGGTAGTATAATTAAACTCAAACACACACTTACTTGTTGTGTTTGACCTACTTGCCATATAAGCCTTTGACAATTTAACTTGTGGTGTTTGACTTGCCTGCCAGGCCAGCCTTTTACAACTTTACTAGTGGTGTTTGACCTACCTAGCATGTAAGGTTATAACAAATTTTCTAGTGATGTTTCATTTACCTGCCAAGCTAACAATTGTGTATCATCAGAATCTATAGCACGCTTGTATGCCTTCAATGCTTGATCATACTGTTCTAAACCTTCTGCAGCAACGGCAATCAGCACTAGGGCCATGTAGTGATTTCCATCCTGAGATAATATTGCCTATAAAATTATAAATCAAAGTGTATTGAACATACAGTACCTCTTTTAGAGAAGAAAAACATGATGCTAAAGGAATTGAATAAAAGTCAAGGTGTAGAACAGATAACATCATTGACTGTTTTTTGGATGAAAATGTGTAAATCCAGACCGTGGCATGGTTGGTGCAGCTGCAGATTTGTAGAGATTTCCAGAGTCCCAAGTTGTTACCTTTGTCAGGTTGTATATTTTTCATACCTTGTAACTTGACTACTGCATCAATTATGATTTATATACATGTACACTGTATATGGTCCCTTAAATTTTTACTGAAACATAGTAGAGTATCAGGTGTGAATAAATCTTAGGAAGAAATTACATATAAAGAAGTATTTACTACATATTGTACATATGTGTAAGAAACTTTCTTTCAATTCCAAGCTTTTTTTTTCTGCAAAATTCAATTAGCACTACATGTAA